AAAGAGTGTTTGTATTATTTATTATCAACAACCGTTCCTCTATCACAGCGCATTCGCATATTTGGTTTTTGACATGATAAAGCTTTTATGTGTAATTTCTTAAATAAGTATTATCGTTAAGGCAGTAATAAATAAGACGATAAACTTATCAGACCGCTGGGCATAAATGATTAAAAGTAGGTCAAACCACAACTATGCTGTTATCACGTTACTCTGACGCCTTGAGTTCTCCTCACGAACAAAAGCTAATGGTCATATAAAAATGCCATGTTTGATCATCTTCACACACCTAAACCATCTCCTTAGGGAGGGGATGGTGAGGAATCTTATTATTTGCTCGTATTGGGCATTCGAAGCAACGGCACTGGATTTATTTTTAATTCTTGTGGCGATTTGCAATTTAAAATTGCTCCTTTCCCTACTTTGCATAGATTTTGGACATTTTCTAACTTTGCGTTACCATGAGAAATTCTTGATATCGCAATGAGATAATCAGTACTGGCTTAAAACTTCTTAAAGGGAAGTTTGAACAGGTCTTAATCGCAGTCGTCGCCTGATTGCCAAGAAATCTGCCTCTTTGTTACGTGTTTGATGTTATTCCGAGGATAATCTCTTGGATGTACTTACATCAATTGCACAACACAGCGTATGTCAGTAGCCCACTTTACAAAAGAGTACTGTTTATCCAGACGGAAAGCGAGGCTGCCATTGAAAACGCTTCCAAAGATGAAGCCTAGAGATTGTCCACCAAAAGGCTGTTCAGTTTCATTGATCTGTTTTTGAAACACTGTTTGTGTAAGTTGAATGTTGTTCATCCGCTTTAAAATATACGTATGATCCGCAGTGTTTTCTTTGTAAAGATATCAACTTGAAACCTTAGAAATCTAACTCCTTTTTTTTCCTGCCTCTCAAGAAAGGATTTCATGGATTTATCGATTTGCCTTTTCAATCTGCGCTGTTCAAGGGTAATTATTGATAGGCCTGGATGACTTAAAGTTTCCTTGGGTGATTTTAAAAGCAGGTAATTCCTAAAAGCAAAAGGTAAAAGTTTAAATCTAAGGATAATGAGCGGAAACGACTGACGAAGGTCAACTGCGTTTTATCAGCCAAATGAGTTTAGACGTACCAAGAGCGTGGATTTGGTGTGAGTTTCGGACACACTGTAGTCCCACTCTAATTGAGCTATGAGAGAATATGACTGACCTCACGAAAGATTTCTGTGGAGCTTAACGGTTCACCATTGCACTGCAAAATCCGAATGTTTTTGGGTTCGAATTCCAACTTTCGTGATTTGTGTTTACTTCTTAGGGGTTGAACTACAGAATTAAATTTCACCTTTAGGGTGGGGCCTCACTGCCGAGTGAATTTCAACCAGTTTCAACAGTGAGGCCTTACGCTGAATATCAAAATCCCGAAGTTCGAAAAAAAATCTATCAAAGGTTTTTCAGACCGTCCTAAGAACTGTTAGCCAGGATTTCCCCATAAAATTATCATAACATTAACGATTGCCATCCCCGGCCCATAATTTTAAATTTCCATCCTGGGGTCAACGCACGTGTGAAAATCTTGGAAAACGCCACTGGATAGAGTTGGTGTTTTAAGCACTCTGAATATAGCCAGTCAGCTAAGCTAAAAAAAGACTGTATCCAGCCACCTTAAGCAATTAAATTTATGCACATTTCGTACAAAACCACCGCCTAAGCTAGTTACTCATTTAGGAAAAAATTTAGCACCTACTTGTCCCAAAATAAGATTGTGAAATAGTCTTTGTTCTTAATAGAACAGAATAGAATGGAATTGTGTTCTTGATTGAATTAAGTCCCTTCAGTCGAAACCTCCTAGAGAGACAGATTTGCCTCTTTACTTTATGAGTGGAATGCCCCATGAAGGAACAAGACTATTAGAAAAAAACCTATGAATCATTCTTAAAAAAACTGTCGACATTTTAATGGTGAGCACGATTGGTTAAGTTTGAGTTCTGATGACATAACTGCTTTGTTAACTGAACCAAACTAATCTTGTACGTGAGGTCACTTGCGATTGTGCGAAGGCAGAAGGACTTGAAGAGGTTCGTTTGAAAATCACTAATAGATTATTCTGTTCATAGTGAGCGTGGAGTGCATAGTTTCTTCACCCTTTAGACTTTTTAGTTCAATTAATCATGGCACCATTTGTGAATTTATCTGACTGCAGCTACAAGGGCGTTTTCCATTCATCTCACAAAACCGATCGACCATTCTAGACGCAATGCATTCCACTCTCGTTATTAGCAACTTCACTCGATCCTGACTGACTCACTGAATCATTAAGGAGTGATTTATCATTTTATCGCCATCTTTCGAGTCGAGTCAAACGGCAAAGTAAGACATGCTCGATCGATGCTCGAACGCTTTGCTTCACTGTTACAATTATCTCCGAGTCTTTGGTTTAAATTTCATAACAATTCAATGAAGGTAACAGATGCTGTTCTAATTAGATCTTGTTAGGGTTGGTTTTCTCCGCAGCTGAACAAGAAAGTATCCGGCAAGGAGTTCAATAATCTTCTTAACATTCTTTTAAAAAAATGCGATATCTATACAACGGATTTTTTTTTTTTGCTAAAATCGGTTTACAACTTTCCTGCAACTTCTACAACTGGGAATTGGCTTTTGTCAGGCGAAAAAATTCTCGCCTCTGCCGTTTTGTTGTGCAATTTATTTATGAACATCAAGTTTTATTCGAGGATAGTTCGCTTTCTAACAGGCGCTTATGTGATTGAAACGTATTTTACGTCAGCACTTTTATAAACATACAGAACCTCGATGCTACAAATAGAATGAGAACACGTGGTATCTTGAAATCTTTCAGCTAATACTAGGTTCTAGGTATCGAGTTTCTTTCAGACAATCTAAAGTACGGTAAACGTCTTCAACGACAATGAAGGTTGGGTAGGATATTGGACATACACAGCATTTACTCGTATGGATAAATACATATACAAACATGGCGCTTGTGATTTCAGTTCTTTGCAAATTAAGAGGAACAAAAGATAAAAAAATACTTCAACCTCCTCTTGCCCTTCATTTGAGCTTTTCTTATATAGGTGGATGCCGTTTAGATAAATGTAGAAAAAAAATTAGAAGTTTAAGGCTCAGTGGCATGGAAAAATTAAATCGTTTTTCACTAACATGGTCACATGGTAAGTTCCGAGGTGACAATCGCCCCGTATACTACAAAGATCAGCAATGTCGAAAATAGATAAGGAAGAAAAAGGGGTACATTATGTGCTCGGTTATCGACTGAAAACACCACTGATCTTAGCCTCGTAAAACGCTCGTCAGTTGTAAACTATAACAGTCGAACCTGTATTAAGCGGTCACCTACAGGGAATGAATGACCACTTAATACAGGTTCCACAGATTAGGGGCATTGTAAAAAACGTTGAACAACTCCTCCTTATGCCATAATTGACCATTTCATGCACAGAATCTCGCTCGAATATACAACTTACTTTGATTTTGGGAGGAAAACATAAAATAAAAGTTACTTGACGTAAAAATTACAGTGATAAATGGGAAACAAATTGGGGATTTTGACAACTGACCGCTAAATACAGGGTGACCGCTTAATTCAGGTTCGAATGTATGTGAATGAGCTCACTAATGATTTCTGTGTATTTAAAAGATTCACCACTGCATTGCGAAATCCGAAGGTTTTAAGATTCAAGTTCTCTTTGTTAAATTGCCCTGAGCACTTGAGACAAAAATGAAAGGGAATTTTTTATCACAAGGGCATCTAAGTCGGAGAAATGAAGTCAAGTTTTGGGTTTCAACTAATTATGTTGAAAGGAAGCGGTACTTGAAGTGACATGTTAAAAAAATTGTCCATTTTTTTTTCACTGAAAGCGCTTTCTGCGGAAGCCTATTACACTCTATGAATGAGATCCTGCTTTGTACTGATAAATTGTCAACCACGTTAATGGCTTTGTTCACCTGCAACAATGATGTTTTTTAAAAAAACCTGTTAAAGAATTCACTGATGGTTCATTAATTAATTACTCGTGATTTATTTAAAAACCATTAAAGAGATTTGAATACTGCCATTTACCACGCTGACGGATTAACATCAATTTTCGAGAGGCCTTACGTGCTGTTTTAAAATCGTCTGGTGTTTATGAAAATGACTGATTATCAGGGGATAGTTCAAAGTTCAGGGTTTGTTTCATGCACCATTGTTGGCAAGTTGTGGATGATAAGAGTTGCAGACAAAACCTCGATAACAATGATTTATTTCAGTTTGCTCGCACTGAAGTCAATTATAAATCTTTGCGATCCCTACTCAACAACTGCTGACTTGTAGAAAAACAAAACAAGGACGCAAAAAGAAATAAGAACAACCAAAATAAAAAAAAAGCTGCGAGCTTTTTAGAATGTATGATACTAGATTATTCCCTTAGCGCTTCTAAAGTAAGGCAATCGAATCCAATGGCTTTTTTTCTCTGGAACTGCAAAACGTTTGTCATGTTATTGTTCAGCCACCCTGAAACGTGACTTCGGTGAACGAAAGTTTAAATGCATAGGTATGGTTGGCAGTCTTTGGTAACTATTTCAAGAACGATCATCTCTCAAAAAGCTTAAATAAGTTATTCAAAGACATCTTTTATTCACACATCCGCCCTTTCCGATCAAGTTTTGTTTCTCATTCTTGGATATCAGGCATCACGCCTTTTCAAAGGTGTAAAAGTTTGAATTTTTAAATACTTAAGGCCATTTGGAACAGCTGTGAAGGGGGTCATGTTATCGTAGTAAAAGATCTTTCCAGTCGAATTCCTGATAAAAGGCCAATTTGAATATATTTTTAAGTCACAAGGTATGCATAAAGTTATCACAATTTTGGTTAGACTCGAGAAGTCTCGTGTTATCTTAATTAAGTCGACGAAAGATTGAAGCAACTCAATACATTGTTTAGAAATTACATAACTTACATTTTATTGATGACATGTAACTGGTTTCTTTGTTTAGAGCAAAATGTGGCTTCAGATCTCGTGGATTCTCTTGATGACTACAATGTTGTTGTCAAATGCTGAACTGCCGAGTGACAATGACAATGAAGGTAATTTTATGGAGTTGTATTAGTCGGGATTAAAGAGTAATCCGCTATGAAAATTTTACAGTGTTTTGAGGCAGACATTTCTAGAGATCTTGTAACTACGAAATTTTGGGGTCAGGGCAGTGTTCGTTTCAGAGTAATGAAACAAATACGATGTGGAAAACAATTTCAACGAAGCAGCTAAGCTATGTCACCTAAATCGAGGCTGCACGACAAAGATTTTTGTATCTACAATAGTTGATTGACAATTTTGAAATTTACCCGTGTCAGTGCGGTACAAAACATAATATAAACAGTCACGGCACTGGGACACTTGAATGTTCATTATTTTTTCCGTACAAAACTCTTGCTTCAAACACGTTTGTCTTTTTGAGAGAAAAACGGGAGAGTCTAGAATCCGACTGATGACCGATGCTGACCCCACTTTGCGTAAAACTTCCTTCATCTCTTGGAGTAAAGAAAAAACGTCACACTCTGCAAACTGCAGGCCAGGAGTATCTTGGTGTTAGCTGACGGCTCAGTCAGGATTTCGGGGTCGCAAGCTTACAGTAGCGCATAAGTCTTCTCGTTGCTTTAACTTTCAATCGAGGCACGGGAAGTGAAGAGTGGAGTTTTCTACTATGCGAACTTGGAGTAGCCTAATAAGATCACAAGAATAGTAATCTTTGTACTGTTCCCTAACTAACTAACATATCATTACAAAAGATGAAATGAGACTACTGGGAATAACCCCAGGGGATAGCGTTAGCGAAAGTAGACAGCGAATACGGATTGGGTTATTGAGCCGCTGGTTGGTAAACAGATCTATATTTAGACCATAATGGTTTTGAGTCGATATTGATTTTCAAGGGAATCACAGGAGCGAAGAAAAGTATTTGTGTCTTAATGCAACAACAACAACAACAACAAAAAACATTCGAGCGAATTTTCAAGCAAATTTTGTCATTCTTTTTTCAAAACTGAAGCGAAAAACCTGATGGATTTGCAACCCAAGTACACTTTTCAGAGGCCAGATCGGCTGAAAACGGTTGTGGAGAATGACATAGTTTTGTATGAAACAGAGTCAGGATTTGGAGAACTGGTGGATAAGCACAAACTGAGAGTTTAGAGGAGTTCCACACTTTCAGGGTGTGGGGGTCCTTTATTGATGAAGTTATTTTTTTTTCTTTGCTACGAGATGGAAGGAACATACCCCCCCCCCCCCCCCCCCCCCCCCCCCCCCCAGGATCCCCTCCCTTGGCTGTGACTTAAGTTCATTGTTATTGCATTTCTTGACAGAAGAGAACTCCAGTCCAAGGAGCATGCCGGATTTCTGGTTGTTTGGCGACATTAAACTTACAGATCATCAAAAAGTTCTACTTGATGTGCCTGAAGGTGCGAAGGATAAATTCGGTTTTCCACGAAAACCCCCAGCTGCCACACGAGAGAAAACCTTGCTTTGGGATAATGGAGTTATACCGTATGAGTTTGACTGCAGCTTGCGTAAGTGATTCAGAAATTACAGAACCGCATCAACAAGGACGTTTTTGAGCTACGGAGTACATCTGAACATCTGATGTTCTCTCGAGCGGCTCACTTTTGTAGATAGCATCACCCCATTGCTGAGCGCGATTGACCAGTGGTAGGGCATTACTGGCATTGCTGGAAGCAATCAGTCGAATTTGATTTTTCTCAGCCTCCTAAGAAACTTCTTCCTAAGAAACTTCTCTTATATAAAGCTACAGATTCAGTGTTCGCAAAGTCAAGGCTGAAATTTATAGGCAAAGAAGTCCTCTGCAACGGATTGCTGTGTGTTCAATGCGCGCCAATAAAAGAGATCAAATTCGTAGCTCAAAGCGTCACTGCTTTTCAAAGCTCAACTCAAAAGTCTAAATGTTGGGAGTCGAGGATTGTCATTTACTTCTTGCAAATTCTCTTAGAAGTTAAAACCAAGTTACATGAAATTACTAACAAGTTATCATGATTTTCATGTAATTTATCCTCCACGCTACTGTTAGCTGTTGTTTTATTATTTGAGTTTTGCATGCAGCTTAGTATCAAGTTGACGAATTCATGTAAGGGACTAAATTTCTCTAAATGTCAGTTAGTAAACGTGAAAATTTCCAGCCATTTCTCCGCCATTTCTATTGATGATCAGTGCGAGACAAAGACAAATGGGATTTCCTTCTTGTTTACCAACGGGTTTCTAAACGCCAGTTACCAGAAGTCTACAACCGCTTGTGAAATCTCTCAACGCCGTCCATTTTAGCTTACGAGCAAGCTATCGCATTTGGATTTTACCTTGCGTCATAACCGCTTATTACACCATCGGCAGCAGCTCATGACAAAAATTATTGAAACCCCTGTTTACCTGGTAGCAGTTTTGCATACCGCATTGTATACCTTCATTGTTTGAGATCATTTAAAAATCAAATCATAACATTTTTTTTATTGTCCTACTTTTATTGCTACACAGAAAACATGCCAGAACTGCAAAGAATAATCCGACTGGCTATGAATGACTGGGAATCGAAAACCTGCATCAAGTTTATAGAAAGAACCAACGAGAAGGATTACGTCAATTTCTTTCGAGGAACTCAGTGAGAAAAATGGTTTTTTTTAGATCAAAGTGTTTGTGACCATGTTTTAATTCTAGCAATCGTTTAATCGAGTTATTGTTTGATATACGCACATCTTTTCGACTTTTAATGTTTGACTTCGTTTTACATCCCTCTCTCGACCTGCATCCAGTTGTTACAGCACAGTAGGCAAGGCTCGAAATGAACGCCGGGAAGTGTCTGTCGGATTCGGGTGCGAGTACCATCACGTGATGGCACATGAGCTAGGTCACGTGCTTGGATTTTGGCACGAACAGAGCAGACCCGACAGAGACGAGTACGTGAAGATAATTTGGAAAAACGTGAACAGAGGTAGATGAAATGAATTCGGTTATGTTTTCCCTTTTTCATAGAATTTTAGATATTAGCTCGGTCATGACTACTCTAACTTTTAGAAAGAGCTGGATGGTAATAAGGTGTTCAGATTCACGCAGTAAACTGGAGAAACTGGCTCATTTTGCTCATGAGACACTGCTCGTATCTGCATTCCGATGTAAAGGATTGTTTAGAATCAATTTACTTCTTCTTCGATCACAGGCTGGGAACACGCATTCCTCAAACAGACGTGGCAAGCTGTGGACTCTTTCGATACGCCGTATGATTACAACAGCATCATGCACTACCGACTGAACGCTTTTTCGCGATCAAGGAGAAGAAAAACAATTATACCCCTGAAGAAGGATGCGCACAAAGTCCGGCCCTACAGAAAGATATCAAAGATTGACGCGATTCAGGTTAAAAGGATGTACAATTGTGATGGTAAGACTTTCTTAGCTCTAAAACAAATCGGAATCTAATTTTAACGTGCCAGCATTATTGCAGACAGATTTGTAGGACGGAAGTGGTTAGACTCCCGAACCCCAAGTGAACTGAGTACAAGCTGTTACGCCGCAAAATGTAACATTAACGCGAAATGTAACAACTTTTGACGCAAAATGTAACATTAACCCGAAATGTAATTTCGACAATTTACACTTTATTTACAAGGCTCATGTCCAAGTCTCCCAGTTATTTCGAGGCTGTAACATTTTGCTTGTTACATTTCGCGTTAAAAATGTTGTTTCATTTTGCGTCAAAAAGTTGTTACATTTCGCGTTAAAAAGTTGTTACATTTTGCGTCAAAAGCTGTTACATTTTGCGTCAAAAGTTGTTACATTTCGCGGCGTAACACAAGCCCCTTCCCGGGCGAGGTCACAATTACTGTGGTCTGAGAAAAACGCGTTGACGGTGAATTCATAGGGACAATTAAAAACATTTCATAATCTTTGACAACTTTCTTTTAGTTATCTCTCTCTTCAAACCGAAATCAGATGTTGAGCAATCACGTTTTAGTCGCTGTGGTTACGTTTGTCTTACATGTTTGAAACACTGGTATACATTTCTTGGATTGCGGCCCGTTTAAGTAGAAGAGATACCATTACGCTTGCCAAACGAAAGGGAGATTGACTATCTTTCCATCATGTTTTGTATGTAGTGTCTGTTGATCTGTTTGTCGCTGTCAATTGTTCAGTGACATCATTTTGTCTCCTCCCTAGCTAAAAATCAAAGACTTTTGAATAATTCAAGTCTTGAAGCTTTTAGACGAGCGAAAAGAGCCGTTGGCGAAGGAGGATTGGTAACAATCAGAGGATCCAGTCTCCGCTCAAAAGAAGGTAAACATTGCAATACCAACTAAGACAACTTTTAGCTCCATAACTATCGCAAATAACAGCGGCAATGAGAGAAGTGAGTAGTCTTCAACTGAAAATATATAAATAACGACTAATCAAGTAAATAATTTCTATGAGATGTCCATGATGCATAATGATTGTGACATTTGAATACTGAGGTAATTAACGGTTTTATTTAAACAGAGACAGAGAAAAAGAAAAAGACGACGAAAGATCTAAACTGTAAAGATACAAGTACAGCCTGTCCTTACTGGGCCAAGAAAGGTTACTGCGAGGCACGGCAGGACATCAAACTCACGCATTGCAGGTTAAGCTGTAACGCCTGTGATGAAGGTAACAACAGTCGAACATGTGTTAAGCGTTAACCCACGGGGAATGACGGGGTGACAGCTAAATATACAGGGTGGTCGCTTAACACAGGTTCCACAAATAAGGGGTATTATGATACATTCAACTCACTCTCTCTTTTCTGATTGGCCGAAAGCGTACAGTGAATTTTCGAAATCAGCGCTTGGGAGGTCATCAAGCTGCAGATTATACAAAACACTAACGGTCACGGATAATCATGTCATGTATGACCGCAGTGCATGATTTTAAGGGTAATCATATTAAGTTCGCTCGCTTTGTGTTGCTTGCCGTCAGCGAAGACGCAAAAACTACTAATAAAACAGTTATTAGATTCGGTTTTTTAGTGATATCCAGAATAATCAAGGCCTCAGTGAGGGTTATCGTAACCCCAGCCTTGACCTTGATCATTCTGGATATCACAAGAACCGAATCTAATAACTCATTTTTTCTCTTTATTTATTAGCAATTGAGGTTAAACCATCAGAAAAACCTGACGGTGAATGTGTAGATAGAAATGACGCTTGTGAACTCTGGGTAAAAAGCGGATATTGTGAAAGTCGACCAGACATAATGCGCGTGGAATGTAGGAAAAGCTGTCGCATCTGTAGTAAGTTGTCCGTGTCTAACTGTCAAATGATATACAAGGGTAAGAGTAAAAGGGAGGGGAGGGGAGGGAGAGGAGAGTGGGCGAACGACAAGAATGAGCGGCATGTCATGGATTGAACAAAAATGGCACGACTTGAAATTTCCCATCCTTATCACCACCTCCAACAGAAGCAAACGAATCAGGTGATCTGTGCAAAATAACTAATTACACTCCAGTACTATATATGAGCCGTACAGCCCCGCGCATGACTATTTGAGGGCTGTAAGCAATGAAAGTAGGGACGTACAAAGCCATTCGACCCCGCGAGAAAAGAAGAAAGGAAGAAAGAGAACGGGGGGCGGTTATTTTACAAATATTTGAATGAGACAAGTTGAGCCGGACTTGGTCCTGACTAACCTGGAGACCGATATTAAACCTTCCAGCCCTCCGACTCTGTACACTTTACTGATTCACGTGCACTTTACACTTTGCACTTCACACTCTGCACTTTGCACTTTGCACTTTGCACTTTGCACTTTGCACTTTATACTTTGCACTTAACACTTTACACTCTACTGCACTGTACACTTCACCGACTCACGTGGCGGCCAAACGCATCCCTCCCATCCAATCAATAGGTACATAGTATCAACTTGGTCGAAAGCTCTAATGGTCACAACTCATTGTTTGGGGGGGGGGGTGGGGGGGAGGAGGTATTGAAAAAAAGGTAACATTGACGCTAACTGTTACCCTTAAGAGAAGCCATGAATTTCTTTGATTAATCGTTAGCTGACGAGAAATGTATCGACATGGATCCACGTTGCCGTGCCTGGTCCAGGTGGAAATATTGCACCGATAAGGCATATAAGAACGTTATGATGCAGGCGTGCAGGAGAAGCTGTGGATTTTGCGTGGCTGGTAGGGGACTTTCTCATCCAATATACCGGTTCTCTTTATTACTTTGGACGAGATTTTTCCCACTCTCTTAAGACCAGTCTATGTTCCTCTCTTAGAGGGGAGGAGAATCATGGGCTCCAGGCTCTTACGAGCTCATCAAATTACGGGTATTCCGTCGATTCACAATTTTTGTTTGGATTTTTATCGTCTAAAAAAACTTGCGCCCCTCTCTCAACCAATCAGATGCGAAACTAAAACCAATTACGTCTTGGTCACCCGCGCTTACCCGCGCTTTTGGCAGTTTGCCCGTTTTCACTTTGAGTACTGCTTGGCACTTTAGGTTATTTTCGTTCCTGTGGATTGGTCGTTGTGACTACCTCGGTTTTGGAGTAACGAAACTTAATTTAGAAGTGTTCTGACGTAACGAGAATTCCAATTTTGATCGTAGAAACCCATGACTGCAGGGATCGTTTGAAATATCGCTGCAAAAGGCTAAAAGACGAAGGATACTGCGAATCAAAGAAACCAAACGAGCGAAACTCCATGAGAAATATGTGCGCTTTGACCTGCAACTTTTGTTGTAAGTGTGTGAATTTATACATATGTAGAAAATGGATAATTAAAAACTTGAAAAGCGACTCTGGATGACACCATTTTAACCGCACAGTTTAAGTCAGTGTTTCGCACAGAAGAAGTAACTGTAAGAACTTAGGGTATACAGTATACAATTTATATTATTTTATTGTTTTTATTGTAGTTGCTATTTTTTTGTCTTGTTTATACAACTTACTCAAGAGAAATTAAGCTAAACTTGGGACATCTTAACTACCAGTCACCAATTTTTTCGAGCAATTTTTTTTTAACGACATTTACAAACGGTGACTTAAAATTTCAGACCGTTGGCAAGTTGCAAACAAGCAATTTCAAAAAGGCCTACAAACAAAGTACATTCCCTCTTTTAATATTTCTTGAACTCCAGACAAAGATGTAACCGTGGCAAAAACAAAACCGGCAAGAAGACCTCCTTGTGTGGACACAATGAAAGCCTGTTTCGGCTGGTCAAGGCTTGGTTACTGTTTCGCTGACCACAGAGAGAGTTTCATGCGAGAGTACTGCAAAAGGAGTTGTAACCTGTGTTCTAGCATGAGTCCAGATCACACAAGTAAGTCATTCAGTGACGTGTGTATATCCTAGATTGTATGCAGTTTCTTCTTTGCGGCGAAGTCCGTCGCGCGAGTCAAAAAAACTAATAATGTTAGCGCGCTGAGTGGAAGCTTTGGATTTTATGGCTAAGAGGTTGCTGTTTGATTTTAGCTGAAAAATGTTTAGATAATGACATCATGTGTGAAGAACTGAAGGGCCGCGGATACTGTGAACAGGCGGACAAGAAAAAATACATGGCGTTTCATTGTAAGAGAACTTGTAAACTGTGTAATAGAAAAGAAGGTAAGCCCTTAATATCGAATACAAAACTCTAAATTGTCTATGGCAGAACTTTTTCGTCAATTTGCTCTTCCTTACATAATTCAAGCAGCCTTTGAGCTTGCCTGATTACACATGGCTTCATTTCAACTGACAAAATCAACGACGAAAAACGCCAACAAAAAGAGTAAATAGCTACGTTAGCAAGCGGGTTAGTGACTTTTGTAATTCAAAACGAGTCAATCAAGTTATCCCCCTTTTCCCCATCCATCGCGGCCTGTATTTGCCTTCAAAAATCATAGTCGAATACTTATGTGTGTGTAAACATGTTCACGCCTGTTTCCCGATAGGAGCACATGTACATTTTATTGCAAATGTTTAGAACAGTCTAGACAGTCAGTGTTTTATTATCTGCTGGATTATATATAGTGAGAACAAAAGAAAATTCATACTTACGCTGTTTGATTTTTTTCTTGTTGATTTTATTAGAGATGCCAGCACCATGCAAGGACAAGCATAAATCCTGTAACGCTTGGGCAGCAAGGGGTGACTGTCACGTTAGAGCACTGTACATGATGAAATATTGCAAACGGACCTGCAACCTCTGCCGATCGATCGGATTGTACCAGATTAGTAAGTTGCTTACCTCACATTTCTCCTGCCAGCTAAGCCAGATATTGCCTGGATATGCTTCCATTTTCTCATTCAAATGTATCATATTTTTTCAGAGCCCACGCTTCAAAATTCGCCATGCATTGACAAGCACCCTTACTGCCCCAGATTGACTGAAAAAGGCTATTGCAATCTTTTTTCTAAATTCATGTACAAGAAATGCCCACTGAGCTGTGAAGCTTGTTACCCAGGTAACGCATTCTTCCAGATTACTTTTTCTTTGTTTTTCCAGTCTCTTTCGCAGCCGTTCTTTGGGATGTCACGCAACATTGCCGTTTCCCTTGGGGTGAGCGTCGCGTGACATCCCAAAGAATAGCTGCGAAGGAGACGAGTCTTCCTCCAGCCCGTTATCTTCATGGTTGGGCAAAGAGGTGCGAAGCGAAGGTGTGAAAACCAAATTTACGCGGCTCGAGTACTGGACGATGATTGAAGAAGGGAGAACAGTACAGTTTCTTGCGAAGAAATATGTTATAATTATACTTCAGTATGCAATTTTATTACGCTCAAGGACCTTTAGGTATTTCAGGGAGGGAATGAGACAGATCAATTTATTTTTGGTGTAGCAATTTTTTTTTTCTACAAGATATTCTTACTGAGGAATTTTCAGCAGATAAAACTTTAGCCGGCACAGTGGCCTCTCTTTTTCTTCTCAAGTAGACAGTGTATCTCCGAAAATAAAAGAGAAAAATAGAGAGAGAGAGATGGAGAAAAATATCTGTATTTTCTCTGTGAAGCCTTTAACCCCTAAGAGTGATTGGCATCTAATTTCTCCTTATGATATCTTCCCTGAATCAAATATTAAGGTCACGAGAATAAAGGAAATGATCACCAACTAAAAATGCTCTTCATTGTTGAACAAATTCTCCATGTCAGCACCTTAGGAAACGTAAAGTGTGGAGTAAATGCATAGTGATGTTAGAGTGTAAAAGGGCAACAGACAAACATGTTTTTCATTTGCTTCTCTCCCAGAGGTTGATAAAAAATTGGCAGAGAAATGTAAAAATAAGATGGATGATGCTAACTGTGAGCATTGGGCTGGACTCGGCTACTGTCAAAGTAGGGCTGACTTCATGACTGACAAGTGTCAACATGCCTGCAATTCATGCCCTAAAGGTAACAACTAACTTAGGAGTGAAATCTTGTACCTATATCTTATTTGGCCAAAGGAAGTCTGGGCACAAGACGGTGGTTTTTCTTTAGAAAGCCAATCACTTTTCTCAATAGCAAACTGGAATAAGAGAGGGGGAAAGGGGTTAGACCAAAAGACAGGTAAGCCAAACCCCTCCCCCCCTCCTCTTTCCCGCAAAGTTTTGCTATTGATATCTTCAGTTTTTCAAGTAAATACTGGTTTTCAACGTGTACCTTACATTTTAGATGAAATTCAAGGAAGAAAGAGGCTGTTTGGAGTACAACTATCAGAGGAAAGATCCTATTTGGTTTTAAGCCCCCCCCCTTGTTGTTCATGTAAAATAAAAAAGAATCAAGGAAACACATGATGACGAAGAGTTTACATTGACAAACTAAAGTAAAATGCTTCGTGTTTGTTTTCGTATATTCTTTTCCAGAACCTGTTAAAACTCGACCAGCTAAACCTAAAGGTAAGTTCACTTTAATTTGGTCCTAATTTCAAGATCTCAGGTTCATGAAATTTTCCTGAAGCCCTCAAGGTTTCGGCCAACGTTGGAAATAGTAGCTTTAAGATAAAGCTTCACACCTATTTACTTTTCGTATCCTGGATTGCGACTTATTTCTCTGTTTTTGTTCTTCTTTAGCCGTAGACAATTCTTCCCTCGAGTTCCTTTGCAAAGCTAGTACATTGCCTGACTTTACGTTCCTTTTCGTAACACCTCATAGGTATAAGGTGTCATGACCCTTGCAAAAAATGGCTCGAGCGAGGACAGTGCACGACTAGATGGCGAAGACGTTGTATTAGGACGTGTTTAACTTTAGGATGTGACGAGGAACCCGTGAGGCCAGAAGGTGAGAAACCATCTTTTCTTTTTTTTTTCTTTGCACTATCGTGATAATGCTGTCCATCTGATATTGAGAAATTATTGGATGATGTTCAGCATGATATGATGAATTATCAATGCCGAGGTGAAATGAAACAAGCTGGAAAAGAAGGAAGTGCGCCCTGAATTTGCAAAAGTTTGAGAACACAACACGCACAAGGGGCTTGGAAACTAGGCAGATTTTGAACTTGACATTATAACCCAATAGCTGCTGCAGATAGGTGCTTTAACAGCGAATGAGAGACAGAGGTTTCATTAACTCCCATGAGTGACCAAGACAGAATTTCACCTTGCAATATCTATACAATATCAACCAGATAAGTGATGAGAATAAAGAATGAGATCAATTGGGGATAATTAGTTGACCTAATACTAAATTCTCTGAATTAACAATATAAAAGTTGTATGGTTGACAGTAAGGAGAATTACAAATTTAATCTGGGAGTTTAAGGGTTAAAAGCGGGTAACTGGCGGTCTACCGCCGCCCATAAGACTTCCTGCAGCCAGGATCTTGTTTGGGTTTTGCCCTACGGCACAGCCGCCTATGACATCATCGAAAGCCGCCTGTGGAAAAAGTTATCGAAATCCTTGGGAGGGGCCTTTGAGTTTTATCAGAAACCAGAGAGCCAGCGAGAATTCAAACTTTGTTAGACTTGCTGGATAAGGAAAAAAAATCATAGATTCCGGCAAAGCTGAAAAAGCACAAAAACTGAAAAATAATTTTAACATAACCTTAACTGACCCAATCCCCAAAACCGAAAGATCCAATTAATCCCCCTCCCCCCTCCCTCACTAATAAGAGACAGTTTGGGAAGTAACGATACGAGACTTCCAGATAGCCTGTTGTTAGTTTGAAAACAGGGCACCGAATAATGGAGTAAATTTTCTCTACCTAGTCTCTATGCCGTTTCATCGTAATTTCCGTGTTTGGTTCCTTCAGTTGCCTTTTGCTTCTTGTAGTTCTTGAAAATCAGAGGTTACCACTGCATTACTTATCGCTGAAAATAATTCCTGCACAGGAACTTGTTCTGAACCCCTTGGAGTAGGATGGGATAACACTCTGCCAGACAGTGCCTTTAACGCATCATCGAGTCTCTTCACGCGTAAGTAGCTAGAGATCATTAAGAATTTGTCAAAATCCATTATATTCGCAACGAATCTTAGGGAAAATCGAAAAAAAAAGTATTGTCATTATCATAGCTTGCCGAATTTTTAAGTACGCAAGGAGCCCGCTAATATAACTTGCTGTGATTATTTCTAATCCAGGTCCATGGGACTTTGGTCCATATAATGGAAGACTCTATCTACAGGACGATCGCATCAGAAAGAGAATTGGTGGCTGGTGTGCGAGACACAAGAACCATAATCAGTGGTTACAGGTGGATCTTGGAAAGATTAAGTCCGTAACAGCTGTTGCCACTCAAGGTATAAGCTCTATTTAGGGTTAGGACACCTCCAGCTTCGTTACCGGTGGAGGTCGGAAGTTGGAACGAGCGCATGAATTGCATATTGTACGAACCCTACAAGCTTTTGCACGCTCATGTTTTGCTCGTGCATATCCCATCTCCTCCATATCGAAGGACTTAGATAAAAAAAAGGTGCTTTCGGTTAGTTTTGCCCTTGTATGCTTTAATTACTCTTATTGCAGTTACGACCAACTTTTGGGGGTTGGCTTTAGAACACTCGCTTAGGCAAGAGGAACCCACACGCTTCTTCTGGAATTTCTTCTTTATTCAGTTAAATCCTCAACTGTTCAACAGCTCAACAAACTAAGTCAAGTCTTATACACATCCATACGTACTTTATTAGTGAACATTTTTGGGTTATAGGCCTTTCGATTTTGGAGGATTAAATCACTCTGTAGAACCTCTAACCCAAATATTCGTACAGGGTTTGTAGGAGCGAACAAAGCACTTGATATTCTACGCAATTAGAAGTCAAAAATCACAAACAGGAATTATGTTTTTGGTCCAAACCAAGGCCAAGAGACAAATCCAAACAAGAACACCATTAACAAAACCCAGACCGGAACTACGTTGTTCATGTTGTTCATTGCAAACATACAAAATATTTTGATCAATCTGGTAAAGGTATACAGGTTCAAAGCTGGACATCTAAACATAACACGCTAATCAGGAAACGTAACGTAACGTTGGGGCTAAATCTACCTTTGACAACTAACTTCACAACATTACTTAGAGAGAAGCGCAGAAAGAAACGCAATTCACCAGAAGATATCTGAATTTGGTGTATCATTTCTGTTCATACGGCTTCAGACATTACTTTTATACCCGAAACAATACAAGAAGATCCAAATTATAAATGAGCTTATGAATTATCAATTGACTATTGTTTCTGTCAGGTCGAGACAAATATTACGAGCACGTTAAATCCTATGAGCTGGCATTTAGCAAGGACGGAGTGCGATGGAATCGTTACAAGGAAAACGGAAGAGTTCGGGTGAGATTCAAATACTTTCTCTAAGTCTACGTAATTTAAATTGAAGGAGTGTAGATATTATGCCCCTCCCTGAGAGAGCGTAAAAGTTTTTACGAATTTGAGCGTAGGTCCTTTTCAGTCGACCATGGTGCAAAATATAGACTTATACCACCGGTATGAGTTTATTCCAGAGGACTCATATACAAGAATGAGACGGGTGTGTGCGATTTCAAGGTTTGGCGCCATCTCGAACTGGCTGACCACTCGCCTCGATTTCATGAGAGAGCTTTGAATCCCGCTGGCTAAGTGTCCCGCGGGTTGACGCGCTTTGGTCTGAATGTTATGAGAAGATACGTATAATTAAATTCGAACCAAATGATCAAACACACTTCACTAATCAATTACTGTTACTAGTTATCATGTGTTAGTAATTTTATTTTTTCACTTTCTTTCGGTGAAAGGTATTACCGGGAAACTGTGACAACTTTACCCCAGTGATCAACAAGTTGATCCGGCCCGTTCAGGCCAGGTTTGTCCGGTTTTATCCCAGAACTTACAACAATATATGTATGAGAGTCGAAGTGTACGGATGTAGCAGGCAAAAAGGTGAGGCGAGACAGTAAATAGAGTCTGTGAAGTTAGTTAGATCGTCCTGTTGGTAAGCGCTCTAAAATACATATATCTCGGCGTTTATTTTCTCTATTATCAGGTTATGAAATGAAGAGAGGACGTTAGGGACGCTAGCTTCCGTGTTTAAGATGGCAAGACTGGACAACAGGGAGAAGCCACTGGAAGCTTCCGTGTTTGGACTGTGAAGCCTGGTTAACAGGAGAAGCCTCCGGAACTTTTAGTTACATGAAGCAAGCAGTGCAATGGGAAACGCTTCTGCTGTTAGATAATAGGTTTGCAGATGGAAAAGGCGGGGAAATTATGCAGCCGTTTGCAGCATTAGCTACGCTTGAAGCGCTAGTTTTGAAAGTGGCTTGGGTAAAGCATCAAACTTCACATTTAGGTAATGAGTTTGATATGCAAATGATTGAAACGATTTTGCTTAGATATCATGTGTCGAACCTCGGACGACCCATGAAATGTTTTAGTGTTTTAGCTGAGCCTCAAACAATAATGGGAGTGATTAGAGAAAAGCAACAATCAAGAGGATCACCTTATTCCTCTGATAGCATATAACAACCGTTGTAACTTAAGTTGTTGGGGGGGGGGGGGGGAAGGGGACAGGAAAGATGAATCAGGGCGTCGGCTGGGAAATGTCAATTTTGAGTTGAGACGGACATCCAGTGTGCATTCTCGCTTACGAAGCGCAAATTTGATACTTTTTCCAAAGTCTTTTTCGTCAACACAATCATTCCTCACGTTTTCCGTCTAAGGGATATCAGATCGAGGTTGGCCTTCATGAGGAGGTCTTGGAAGAAAGACTCGTTTGCTAAACCATGTATAGACATCTCAAGTCGACCTGACATTTCCCAAGGCCAGCGATATGAGCCTGGTTTCTTTCCTTTGTTTTCTCGTAATGCTACTGAGTTCTTGCGTAGACTTTGTGACCCCAAGCTATTCCTTACCTCTTCCTTACTTAACATCCTCGTTCAACGATAGCACCTTAACCCGCTCACTGAAAGCGATTGAACAAATCCTAGGTGCCTTGGAATTCGTCCTCCACTGTTTCAGTAGCGTAAGGACACAGTTGCATGCTTCGTTTATTTCGTTCAGTTTCTTGGAGATGGCCTAAAGAAACTACCGCGTTCTTGGCTCATCTTCGAGCAGCGTCAGTTAGTTCTTTTAAACATTTAGGGCTAATATTTAAATTATTTTAGAAAATTGTGTAGATGAGATCATAAGTTTTTTCTTAAAGTTTGCGTAAGTTTGCCGACACCCAGTGCGTTCATATGAACATTGTGACGTAAAGGCATTCAAAAAAAGCCAAAGTTTCGCGCGATGTCCAAGCACAAGAAGTCTTGGAAACCACTTCAGTTAGATATTTTCATAAAATGTACATATATATCATTTTAGCGAGAGATATTACTGATATTTTCACTAGTTATTTTTTAAAAAGTCCACAAGTTTTTCTATTCCATTTACGTGTTTTTATCTTTAGTGCGAAGTTTGTGATCAAGGCTATAGTTAAATTGATCATATAAACTTTTATCGAAGACAAGCTTAATTATCAAAGACATTTTGCGATTGTCAGTTATCTCATTCGTACTTATTCTCTCTTAAAAAAAAAAAAACTTTAAAAAAAGTTAACTTATCTTGCAACAGTTTTTGTATCAAGTCTGTTGTGTTGCAACGACGATCACGTCACGTGACTGTCGGATCACTTGACTATTTGTGCGTCTCACACGACAAAGTCAAGAGCAATTTTTTCTTGGAGGAAAAGTAGTTTCTTGCGGCAGTGTGATCCATTTTATAAGTGCCTATTTTAGAATGATTTTCTTCCCTTGGAGCAGCTCATAATCATGGGCTAAATTGTTTTCAAATCAGGAAAGAGGTTTCGTGGAGAAATCTGTCGCCTTCAAGTTCGAGGCTTCAAGGCAGAAATCGCTATGAAGAGACTAGGGAATGGTATAGATGTATAGACTTTACACTCTGTAAATGGAAGAAGGATATGAAAGAAAGAGAAATAGATATATTTCAAGGAAGAACTGATGTTTTACGAGTATGAACGCAGTATACTCATCATAGTATACTCATCATAGCATGTGATTATGCTTTTACGAGAGAATGTACCCACAAAGTTATATTTCTGATGTTTCCGAGTAGTTTCCGTTTCTTGTCAGTTCCTCTCTCTTCCAAGGATGCTCTCTTGTAAATATCCGCTGAACGTACTGATTTTCGCTTGCACTCATTGCCTTTCGAGAGCCTCCACAAAGAAGAGAGGATTTGTTCCCCTTCTGTTTACTTTAAGGTAAGCATTTTACTTTATTGCACTTCGAGGTAGCCATTTTTTCTAATGTCTAATTTTGCTGAATACATTGTTTCCGTGAATTTCGTTTTAGCTCGAATATTGACTCGCTTCAATCACGTGCATCATCTGCCTCTAACCATATTTATGTAGTCAGTTTTTCACCGTTATGTTCGTAAAGAAATCGATAATTTTGTTCGCATTTGTTTGCAAAGACATCAATAAAATCATATTAGTTAAGAAACTTCGATTGTCTTTTTTTTTCAGTGGAGGGAGTCCTTTTCATGCTAAAAATATTCTTTTTTTTTCTTTGACTTTTATCTTTGACTGTGACTTTCGTATGCCGACTTATTGCAATATAGTTATCGTTTGTGCTGAAGTTTTGTCTTTTCGGTAAAAAGCGGTATTGCGAGAGTTTGATCCGCAAAGGCGAGTACCTTTGTGAAGTGTTCACCAAGACGATCCCAAACTCCAGTGATGAGTCTTACCAGAGTGACAACCAAATGCTACTAGCTATCGTAAGCCAAAAATTCTGGCCTAGTTTGAACTCGATCCGTTGGCGTTGTGACAAGACCGGGGAAGTTGCATGAGACTAGCCAGTTTGTTAACCGAGTTAGCGAATGGCCTGGCACGAAATATGTGAAAAGTCTTCCTTCGCCTAATCCATCGCGGCGTCACCGCTGATACCGTTGACTCCCATCATGATGGCTATGCCTGCTCGCATGAGTCTACCTTCCAGAAGTGAAGAGGCCCTCTTAAAAGTGATCGCAACACTCCGATTTCCAAGCCACAGAATCAACATGCAAAGTTACAGCTTAGGGTCTCGTGAAAGGAAGTCATTTGAATGTAACGCAATCACCTGGAATGGAGATACCTTTTCCTTGAAGGAAGCGCAGTACTTTCCGTTTTATTCTCTTGTGGTTGTGTTTTTTTCTGTGGGGTTCTACGAACCCTTTCTATTTCAATGAAATCTCAAAAGGATTTCTTGGTAAGATGTATTCCTAAATAACCTGTTGCATAGCGCCCAGTGAACCCCTCTCAGTTGTTGTATTTCAAGCATATCTATTTGGTCATTCTCTTCCGCCGCGCTCACAATTTTAATTAATACAGGCTGTTGTTTCAATCGACAAACTATTAATTTTCTTAATATTATCCTCTTTCGTTTGTGAATTTACTTGAAAACTTGTGATATTTTGTAGCAGCAGTCTTCCTCGAAGAGCAAATATTGCGTCATAAAGGGTCTCGTGATGAATCATGGGAATAGATGGCCAACCAGTCCGTGCCACGACCACGACATCACGTGACGAAATTGTTGTGAGGAAGGCCAGTTTTATCCAACTAAAGCGAGAGTGAGCGACGTCTACAAACTAGAATGGCAAATTTAGCTTTTGATTCGCCTGTTACTTTAGTTATAAAGACTCCAAACCAAAAAATTGACGATTTAAGAATTGATTGTGCCTTGGAATGGTCAGTGGAACAACTAAAAAAGCATCTTTCGAGCGTGTATCCAACCCAACCGGTAAGGAATTGACTTCCGTTTGTGATGGATCGTTTTGTTTCTAATTAGATAGATAAAGTTTATACTGATTTCGTTGGTTCTGTATTCAAGGAAAGCCAACATCAGAGGATCATTTATTCGGGACAGCTACTGAACGATAATTTAATCCTTAAAGATGTGTTCAGAGAGGTGAGCAACTGGAATTTGTGCGCGGGTATGAAGCGTCTAGTTTATCGATGCATAGAAAGCCATACATTTTATCCCCATCGCTGATACTTTCTTTCAACTGTATTCAGCATCAGCCCGCATACATGGCCAAAATAGATAGATTTGAGTGGATTATTATTGTTTAACGTGAGATGCACAGAGAACTCCCACTATGTGCATCGAAAACTGTCTTTGCTTCTACCTACGAACGTGACAATACATAAATTACAAAGCATGTCGTGAATTTTTCTTGCACAGCTGTCTTCCTTTAAACAATGGATCTTTCTCTTATTTTACCGTCCTATTTCCCCATTCAGTTTTCTCGTTGATTCGTTTGTCTCGGGCAAGGGGAATTTATGAACTGTAGAAACCTCGTTGAAATATGTCAGCCAATGATATGGATGTAAATTAAAATTCTATATCTATTACATAACTGAATACAGCACCAAATTGACTGAAAAAATGGTTTACAATTGAATTGCAACGGTGTTTTATCATTTTCATGAAACGCAAACAACTCATTCATACTCGTGTATATGTTTTAACAATAATTAAATTTATTTATTTTTGCCTTTTCTTGTGCTACTTTCACTTTTGCTTAAATTGAAAGGAAATCCCGGACCCTCACCTTTCAAATGAATCTTATGGATCCTCTGGTTGGAAATTTCACACATTTCACAGCACACATTTCATGGTGAAAGTTAAAAAAAGAGGAAAATTTTGATAATTTATTTTGTACTAAACTCCACTGAAACGTTCCACACGGTATGCTAAGTCCATAATGTTAAAGGTGTATCACAACAACCAGTCTATACATTAGTTTCCAGTTATTCTATAGAAAGAGATAACATTACTACTTGAGTATTCATAGTTCTATGCATCTCTTTTACAAATTGTGCCACCTTTAAAAATCTTTCCTCTCACTAATGTGCATCTAAATACAAGATGCAACTGAGGGTTTGCAAAACATTCAAGAATTCTCCTTGCCCCCAGTGCAAGAAGATGAGCCTCTGCAAATACAGAAAATTGAAAATAAATTGAAAATCGAAAATAAATATTATGTGTCAAAATTTGTGCAGATCTAAAGCTTCATAAAGGTGTTTATAGATTTCTATCTAAACACTCCTATTGGCAAACAAGAGCATGCATACACTGTAGTATCTAATTTTTACTCATTTTATTCACAGAAAATATAAATTTTTGCCTGGGAGAATTATTGTACTGTTTCCAGTAAAAATAATCAAAAGTTATTTTTGTCATCTAAAACAGCATGTAGATGGGAAACAACATACTGTTCATCTTGTATGCCCAATGAAATCAGAAACACAGTCTACCACTGATTCTAAGGGAAAGGTAAGAGTGTGCTGAATTTACTTGACTTGTCTCACATGTGCACTTATGTTTAAAACAATTTGTTTTTATCGTTATTTCAGAATGAACCTAGTGTACCTACAACAAATGCCAACACCTCTACTGAGATGCCATCCACAGCACCAACTACTTCACAGATAGCCAGTGATGGACTCAGATACAGGGGAGCCAATACACCAACATATCCGCCATTTAACATGTTCCAGTAAGTGTTTTACTTTTATGTCTGACTTGCTAAATTATCATCATCTTAAGACATCACTTTATTACTTGTAGCATAGCTTGTGTCCTACAGATGTTAATTCTATCTGTAAGTTTTTTGTTGTAGAAATGTTTCCAAAGGAATAGTGCATTGAAAATTACCTCTATAGTGTACACTTCATTTCCTTCTTCAGGGGAAACTAATTGGCTCTCTGCTAGTATACATGTAGGTAAATATATGACTAGAGAGTTTTCATTCCAGGACTCTTTTGGAAGCTACTCAATGTATATGTTAAATTGAAGCATTGTGATACCTGGTTTACTTACCAAGGTTCAAAACATTCACTGCACCTTTTTTGGGTGATTCATTTTCAACTGCTTTATGTTTTTATCATACTCACTTAATAATAATTTTTGTTCAGTTGGAATCTTTCTTAATTACTTTTCCTCATCCTACAGCCAACAGATGGCAAATGCTGCATACAACCTTCCTGCCCAGGGACTTGGCTATGCAGTGCCACCTTTTGTTCCACCTCCTTACTGGATGCAGCAGATGTTTGCGCAGCAGATGGCTGCTGGAAGGATACCCCAGCCTAATATGTACATGCCAGCCAATTAGTAAGTGTCTTCTTCCATGTGTTACAAAAAGTGCTGTTTGCTGGCAAGTATGTTTATCTAGAAATTCTTCAAGTTGTCATGAAGAATTGAATTTAGTAGGAGAATGATTGGAGGAAGCATACACTGGGAAGAGTTTCCCTGCATTTTGTAACTGGAAGCAGCCATCATTGTATACCTCCTGCAGAAATTTACAGCTTGCAAAAACCTTAACCCATCCCTTTTTAACCCTTTAACTCCCAGATCAAATTTGTTATTCTCCTTGCTGTCAACCATACAATTCTTATAATGTTAGTTCAGAGAATCTAGTATTGGATCAACTAATTATCCCCAAATTGCTATTTTTCTTTATTCTCATCAAAGGGTTAAGAACAACCAAAAAGAAATTTCTTTTTTACAATATCAACACAATAGTCTGAAAGAAGGTTAGGAAGAGAAAGAAAAATGTTGAATAGGGAATACTATTGGATTTGAAGTAAATTATTAGTGCTAAAACTATGAGAAATGTGTAGTTGACAGTGTGGATAATGGATAACAAGGTCTTAGTGGTGAAAGGATTTAGGAAGCCTGTGATAGTTATTTCCAGCCTATGACATTTTTTGACAACCCTGCCTATAACATCCTGTATTTCTTTAAGTAACTGCCTGGGTGCCTTTATGGCTGAAAGGAGGGGTGCTTGTTGGAAGAAGGGCATGTACTGATTTTGTTGTAGTTGTAACTTAAAAAGTTATAAGTTTTAAGGCATTAGAAACAGGTTGTATCCCTACAACATTGTATTTAAAAAAGTGAGAGAGGAGGAAGGGGGGGGGGGGGAGAAGGGGGCACTTACAGTACTTGAGAGGGGCACTTTTTTGACTTAATGGCAAGGGAATGGGTACTTGATTGGAGAAGGGTGCTTATGAGAATAAACAATAATTTCCAGCTTACAACTTACTAAAGCAAAAAGGCACCATAAATTATCATTCATGTGATATAAAATATGGTATATTAGACTTGATCTGCTGACCTTTGGCCAAACCTATGCATATGTATGTTGAAAGTGGTTACTAACTAATACACATACCTGTACTTTGACAACCTGTTTGGTTTTCTTTGTGTTATAAGAAAAATTTGAGTCAACGCTGATGCCACATTGCTTTTCTTTCTGCAGTGGCTATCCACAAATGCCCTACCCCTGGTTCCCTCAGGCTGGGAATGTCCCTGCACCACAAGTACCATTGGCCAACCCACCAGCCCTTCATGTACCGCAGACCCCACCACCGCAGCAACCTGCAGCTCAACCACAGGCACCCCAACCACAAGGGAATGAAAATGCTCAAGGAAATGCCAATGCAGGACCTCTATTCAATGATGAGGATGATGATGAAGAAAATCCTAACCGTGATTGGCTAGATAAGATTTACACGTTGTGTCGAGTTGGAATCCTCCTGAGCATTTTTTGGTTTTATTCATCCACTACTCGTTTTCTGGTGCTGATATTGACCTTTGTTCTCATCTATCTGTACCAATCAGGGGTGTTTGCTATCTTCAGAAGAGGTAAATTTTGACAGTAAACAGTTCATCTTCATTACACAATCCATTGGAAGTATGTTATCTTTGATCCCTGTACACAATGGATATATCTCTGCATGTGCAGCTACAGTGAAACAACTTTCTCTTCAGCTTTTCAAGTCTTAAACTCCCACACTCTTTATAAGTTCGTGTATTGTGCAAGGTGCACAATTATTGAATAATGATGTAACTTACTTAATTTCACCATAATGATCAATTAATTTCCTGGTGAATTGCTTTTCTAGGCAATAATCGTCAAGAAATTCCCATGCCAGCTCCTGCACCACCCCCACAGCCAGAGCAACAGGCAGAACAGAGACAGGGTGGAAATGTATGTACATCTACATGTAATGTGTATGGTCTCTTCTGGAGCTGTTTGGTTTTTTATGTCATTTACTTATTTTGTCAAGTTATGTGACATAATTATTTTGCTGTTACCACCCTATAAGATGTGGTTATAATACTGAAATACTCACAAGCAAAATGCATTTTTTTGCTTAGGTTAATTATGGTTCCAAAATTATTATTTTGCCCCTCAGTAATTATTGTTGAATCATTCTTTTGATACTATTTTTGCATCTGTTCTACAAGATTCATTTTGCATTTGGTTAACAACAATAATAAATGTACCACAATTTGTTTCTGTTGTTGTGGGAATGAGGCTATTTTCATAATGTTTTGTTGTTGTCATGTTTCCTATCCAGGCCCCAGACAGTCCTCAGGGAGATGTTACTGATAATGCTCCACAAAACACAGAAGAAAATGGGCTTGGAAATGGGGATGAAACAACTGCCACACCTGCTCTACCTACCCCTCCCCCGGGACCATCAGCTGCAACTGTTGCCTTCAACTTTGTCACTTCCTTCTTTACATCACTGTTCCCAAATACACCTGCTGTGCAGAATTAATGTATTCAAATCACTGTTATCGAGAAAGAGTCTTAATGTCTACTTTTAACCTTGCAATGGACCATTGTCAGAGGACTCTTAGTGAGAAATTTCTGTGAAAGTGAAGAAGATACTACAAGTATTTATGTCACATCCTGGTGGCCAAGACTAGGTTTAGATGGCAGGGCAATGATTATATAAATGTAAGATATAAAAACGCCAATAAGAGAGGTAAAAAAATATTAGAGATATTTTTATACATGCCAACATAAGTGACTATGCCTAAATATATCTGGATTTGATTGTCATTAAATTGACAAGTTAATTCTCCTACATAGCTATTTAGGCCTTAATGTACAGTTAATTAATCATAATCTTTCCAAAAAATGCTACATTTTCTCGTGGTGATGAATGTTCTTTTGATATTGCAACATGTTATAGTGATGGGTATCAGAAGATAGAGGGATTTGCAGGGGGGGAACAGAAAATTTTTCACCAACCCCAAGCTGGTAGAAATGGAGGAAACCCTTGAAAATCAGGGGTGCACATAGTTAAATTTTTGTTGCACTGTTGCGATTTCTCATAAAATTTTTCTTTGCTTGTTGATGCATTTAGCTGGGACAGATGAATTGGTCTTAGCCCAGTTCGTTTACATATAATAGCCCAAGAAAGATAAAGGGAATGACAAGTTTTATTTAACTTAATGTAAGGCTTTCTAGGTATCTGTTTTGAAAGTTGGCACAAACTGTAATTAGAGACTTTACGGATGTGTTTTGCTAGAATGCCTTTCATATTCTTTAATTTACACTCAGGGAATTTCGTTTGAATCACAAAATTTGTCAGTAGACGATACAGGAGAATATTTTATTTAAGATTCCAAGAGGTACCATTTCCAGATTGTGATGTTTCAGTTAGCTTGCACTCCTGAATGCTACTTATTAGTACATAAAGAGTGTCAAACAAACCCTGAAGAAATGCAATATGCTAATTACTGTTTGGAAATATTTCCGTGCGATGTTTTAGAAGCAATTTTGTAGTATAAGAACTTCTGTACAAATGAAAATAGTTGTAATGAAAATTAATTTTCCCTTTGCTATGATGGGTGGTTGAGTTGGTTGAAGTTACAGTGGGTTTTTTTTATTGAGGTCCAATTACCTGCAATATAGAAATATTTGTGGACAGTGTTGTACAAAAGGGACGGGTAATGTAAATAGACAGGGAATGTTTAACTTATCTATGCAAATTTTATGTAAACAAGGCAAAAAAGAATAAAGATTTTGTCGCCAGCTTCATCTAACTGAAAATTGTTCGTGTGGTTACAAGCAGTGTTCGTGTTACACACAGAGTGGGTAGGAATTGTAGGCGCGTCAAGCGGAAGTACATGTGAGCGGAGAATTGTTAAAGTCTGGGTTCGTCTCTGGGAGAGATTGAAGGGAACCCGGTATTCTGACTGTTTACCCGTGCGCTAATTTTACCTCCTCGAAATTGCCGTTTTGGACCCGTGAAAAAAGTTACGTAATAGCGACTAGTTTAAGTAGCGTGTAAAGGACGCATGTGGGGACTGTCTCTTCAATTTCTCATCCAAACTCCGGGTTAAGAGGGAGCTCCATTCAAGAATCTCCTTCCTTGGCCCTGTAGTCCTCAGTGTGCTCCCCTGGGTCTCCCTCAGATACCGTATTTATTCGATTAAACGCCGCCCTCGAATTTACGCCGCATTTTTTGAAGAAATATTAATGAACGCCGCCCTCGAATAAACGCCGCAACATGATGCGGCGTTTATTTGAATAATAGACTCAAAAAGCTCACAGCGAACAATGCTTCGATGGCAGTAGGTAATTTTGAGTGAACTAGACACATATCCTTTTGAATGCACCAGTTCTGATGTTGAGAAAGCATATCCGACATTAGATTTTCATTCACTTTACCCACTATGTATTGTAGTAGTATTAACATGCTCGTCGTGAAAATGAGAAAGATATAAAAAATGACATTTTAGGCGAGCACTAAAACGTTTCTGTTTTTCAAAATTAAAATAGTTAGTTACCATACTTGCAAGAAATAAAGTGTATTTTAAATAAACGCCCTCAAACAAACGCCGCCCTCGAATAAACGCCGCACTCGAATCACGAAAAATATAGTAAACGCCGCGGCGTTTAACTGAATAAATACAGTACACACCCCGCGATTTATGGGCAGGTTGGACACCAACAAAGTTGCAAACATGTCCTTATACAGTCCGGTGAATTCTTTTTGTCATGTCATAATTCCTTTATTGACCAAGCTTGCCATTTTCAGTCTTAAAGAAAGAAAAGGTAACAAACCAACAAACACCTGGTAGGTAAAAGAGGAAACCTTATCTCATTGTCGCAGTTCACATTTTCCAGCTTTGTAAGTTTAAGCCACTTCCGTTTCAAGGAAATTGAGGAAAACATTCGGGCGAAGGAAATGAAGAGTAAAGTTAACAAGCGTATAGAAAACTACTCGTAAATAGTAATGGACTTAAAAAACGTGTAGTGTCATCTCGGAGACAGTGCTATTTCAGTGGGTAACACATTATGTAATCAAACGTCACAGCCGTACACCTCTACACGCATACAGACGTAGTTATAAGTCACCGGATAAAATCTGATATATCTAGCGGTAACGCCACGCTGCAAGAAATTTAAGACAGGGGTAAAGTGATCACAATTGCCGCCAAATACCTGTAAAAAAAGAGAACAAATCCGATAAGGAAGGAAACCTTGTTTATTTCAAAACAAGCCGAGGAATAAGTAAGAATATGTGTTGGTTTTCTGCTGAAGTTCCTTTTTCTCTTGAACAAATAATAAAGACTGCAGCAAGTCTTACCTTGTCTTCGCCATCTGTTTGGTAGAAACTCCAAGAGTTTCCATCCTTACTGAAGGCGAGTTTATACGATTTCACGTGCTCGTAATACTTGTGTCGTCCTAATATTTGAAGAGAAATATTGTTAACAAGTCTAGAGCATAACGTTCATTAGGGAACTTGCTTTAAAAGTCAGCTTGTATCATGTCCTCAGGACACAGTTGGCGAATAATACTTCCTATTGATGCTTTCGCTGTTACGAGTATTTTGAGTCTGATTAGGAAGAAAAACGTTACAGGATTTCTGTCTTTCTCGACTCTGCAATTGCTTGAATTCTAGAATAATGGTGAGGATAATGGTGAGGATCCACCTTCCAAGCAATCCTCCGTTCGCCCATGAGAAACGAAGCTGAGAACCTTGAAATTTTTTTTTACATTACATCTACTAGAGCAATTTACATTTGAGCGTTAAAAGCAATCCGGGATTGCACTGGAAAAACCATGTCACCTCAAGCAATGAAATGCAAACTTACAACTCATTGCAACTCGCTCATATGCATATCTTCCCTCACTCCAGGAAGTTTGTCTTTTTTATATATAATTCCAGTTGGCCCCTTATTTTTCCTTTGATCCCCTTGTCTTTCTACCGGATTGGTTTATTTTAATTGAAATGCACTTTTAAAGGGCAACTAATAACTAAGTTATCTGTAGTTATTCCCTCTTCATCGTTGATCACCTTGCGTTCCAACAGCTGTAATGTGTTTGTCCATTCCTAAGTCCACTTGCAGCCATTGGTTCTTTGGCGTCGCTGCGCACCAGGCCCCAACTCGCTTGGAATCAAAACTGTCAGTAAAATACATTCGTGCATTGCGCGCACCGCTGTCCCAGCCGCCACCTGTAAAGCCAATGAGAAATTTGAGTTTTTTATCTCGTACCCAGATCCTACCGTGTAACTGTAACTGAACAACAGCTTAGCCGTAAAAGGTTTGGGTATGAGACTATCTAGTTGTGTATACCCCGAGATGTAGAGCTATGGGATTGATTAAAGAAAGAGTGGACAGTCTTCTTACCAACATCAAGTGACGAAGACGCTGAAAATGCGCTGTCAGGCAGTTTAAAATTCCAACCTATTCCGAGCGGACTGGAGCATGGAGCTATCGAAGAAAAATAAAAACACGATTCTTTATTTTAAGTTCGGTAAAGCTTCTAACAGGTTTGAAAAGCCTAAAGGCAACTACGCGTGCCTAGTCACTATCAACCCTTTACACCCTAACGTCAGCATGTATATTCTCCATACTGTTCTCTATACATTTCCCTTGGTGCTAACAAGGAGAATTTGTTTACCAATCAAAAGCTTCTTTCGTTGTTGATCATTTCCTTTATTCTAATGACCTTAACGTGTGATTCAGGGGAGAAATTGGTTGGGAGAAATTTGATGCCAGTCACTGTTAGGGTTTAAAGGGTTCATAAAAAGTCTTTGTTTGCTTGCCTCTGAACAAAGAAAAGGCTCAAATAATCGGGAAACTGACACTGGAATGACAAGATGGAGGTTGAGTTTGTAGGCTCATGTTCTTAACCTTATGGGTCGATCGACTGAGACAACAACAAGAGAAACATTGATGTCTCCTCGTTCTTACTTGATTCAAGAAGGGACCCAATGAATGCGCTTTTAATTCAAATTAATTAGATTCCTCTGGCAAACCGCCCGCTGTGCACAGTTGGGGTTCACTGATGCGCGCCCCACTGGTAATTAAGATTCCAACACTAACTCGCGGAGTTTTCATGAAACATAACTTAAATAAGAATAGGAAAAGGAAAGCGTTCCCAGGAGCTTAAATATAACTCCCCTTGTCAAAGAAATACTTCCTCTTCTCATACACCGGCATAGAGAGAGCATTCTTCACGGAAAGAAACATTTCCTAGCTGTACTAACCAAGAGGTCTAACAGGTTCTTTATCGCATAATTTGGATCCACAACTCTTCTTGCAGTTTTCTCCCATCCAGCCTGGATTATTGGTGCACTCCCCCCTCTTGGCAAAATCTGCGCAGTTTGGATGGAGATCTTCGCACTTAAAGCCTGATATAAAGAAAATAGTGTTGAAAGTCTTTGAAGCGTTTATACAAAATCAAAGACAAATAGACAAGAAAAAGACAAGAAAAATAGGTTATACGCTAAACAAAACTTTCTTATATAAGATAATTCTTCTCACCTGTGGGCTTTTCTGGTATTATTATTGGTGGGCGTGGCGTGACCTTTGTGGTTGGTTTGACTGGTTTTGGTGTCGTAGAGGCCTGTGGGCGAATAGATGATGCTGGTTTTGGTGTCGTTGAGGCCTGAGTAGATGGTGCCTCAGTGGCCGTTGTGGATTTCATGGGGGTCGTTGCTGGCGGAGGATTGGTCGGCTGAACTAAGAGATCATAACAAACCGTTGAGTAAGACAATCTTACGATAAATGGGTACCTTTACAAAGATTCCATGGGTAACAAATCCACACGCTGCATGTTGCAGATTTTAGTCTTTACTGCGATGTATTCTCTAACGAGTTATGCAGTTATCATCGCATCTCACAATCAACAGTTATGCTCACTTGAGAATCTTCACCTTCCCGGAGATTGAGACATCAACACAAGGTTATTAAGTCTATGATTATGCCTTGATCGATTCCTTAATCCGCTGTTTAACTTTATTTCTCATTGAAAGAATCGCGATTGGTGTGTATTGACTGACTGGGCGACCGAACGACCAACTGATTGGCTGACTGACTGACAAACGGATGGACTGACAGGCTGACTGATAGACTGACGGTTGGTTGGGGGTTGGTCGGACGGTCGAACAGTCGGACCCGCGAATCGTCGGACGGTCGGACGGTCGGACGGTCGGACGGTCACATGGTCAATCGAATGATCAATCGACTGTCTGCCAATTAATTAATTGATTGATTACTAAAGAGAAGATTCAGACCGTTAGATTCTTTATATTCCCTTACTTCTGTACAAACGTGGAACTGATCGGAACGCCAACATTATCGTCAGTTGTCCTTGCTAAAGACATATTATTTTCGTTTACCTTGTATGCTTACCTGGACAGCCATAAAACTCAGCCCTGAGACAAATGTCCGTATTCCAGGAAGTTGGGAGAATACGGACAAATCTGGCAACTATTGGGCTTGTTAGCTGATTTGTCTTGACTGTTGACATGTCACTGTTTCCAACAAAAACCTGTTGAAAACCCAAGTTAGACGATCGATGGCGAAATGAGTACCGTTATTTCTGGATAACTTTCACCTATCCATTTTTAAACTAATTGAAAGTTGTCTGTTCCTCCGGATTTTTTCTGAGGTTAAAAACTGGTTTCTGAAAAGATATTTCGGCTATTCTCAAAGCTGATATGCAATTTAAAAGTTAATATGACGGATCTTTGTTTTTGCCTTTTGACATCACAATTAAACTAACAATTACCATTTTATGATTCAAAATTCAAGGTAGATTGCACAGGGGCCTGCAGTGTGGTTCAAAAACCATTAACCTCGGATGGAAACCCTTAAGAATGTTACCTCCTTTATTCAGTAGAGAGATTAGACAAAAATACTTTAATCCCCAACTGACACCTGCTAATACCATTAACCTCCAGATCTTAGGGTCAGGGTATGGGCGTATACTAATTTGAAGTTTCCGGAGAAGTCATAAGGACCAAATCATGTTCTCTTCGGTCTCAAAACAGAGTCTTAATCAGTGTCCATGTACTTGGTATGTTAAGATCATAAGTTACCTTGGAATAAAGATCCCACGACTTTCCATCATCGCTATAGGAGAGCATATATTCCTTCACAAACTTTGGATATGCACTTTCTCTTCCTAAGGATACAGAAAAAGGGACAGGAAAATGGGTATTATAAAACTCTTGTTATTGTTTATTATTTTACTCTTTTTCCATTTCTGTTTCTCATCATGTCACCTTGGGTTGCAACTCCTGTTACGGTGGTTTTCTTCAAAAAGTCAACTTGTAAGTGCACTTCGTTGTTCGGCTTCCCTACGCACCAGGCCCCTACACCACCTTTGCCGACCGGAAGGTTAAGACGAGCCTGGCTAGGACCATGAAATCTGGTTTAAAAAAGAAGAAACATAGAGACCTCACTGGGCGTGTTTGAGGTTTTATTCGTACCTGGGCTTAAACTGATCTGAACTTCGACAAATACTGATGCTTTAATGGGGCCAGGTGACCGTATTTTAGTTCAAATTAGCAGGGATCGAGAACATCCATATAAAAGACATTAAGGATAAGAAACGACACTTTAAAATAGCATGAGGTAAACTTGAAACCATAGGTATGGCTGTACTCGGTTTTAACCGAGATAATGAGATGTAAGGGAATGCAATCAACAGAACTGTTGGTTACTGTCAAAAAATAATTGGTGATGAGGTCTCTTTAAGACCCATTTTGTACCAACAACTTACCTGTTAACGCTCTTGGACGCTGTTATTTGACTGTCCTTGATGGTGAAATCTTCCATCCCAAGAGCCGTTGGTGCGGAACACCCTGAAGATGATGTGGTAGGGGCATGCGTGGATGAAGTATTGGGAACAGAAGTCTGAGGACGAGGAGGAGTGTTCGGCGGAGAAGAAGTCTGGGGTGGAGGGGGCGTGCTCGGTGGCGGAGGAGTCTGGGGTGGAGGGGGTGTGTTCGGCGGCGGAGGAGTCTGGGGTGGAGGTGGTGTGTTCGGCGGAGGAGGAGTTTGAGGAGGAGGCGGCGTGTTTGGCGGAGACGAGGTTTTGGGAGGAGGTGGTGTTTTTGGTGGAGGAGGAGTCTGCGGCTTCATCGTTGGTGGTTTGGGTTTTACAGTCGTTGGCTTGGGCCTTACTGTTGGTGGCTTCGTTCTCACCGTCGGAGGCTTGGGCCTCACTGTTGGTGGCTTCGGTCTCACCGTCGGAGGCTTGGGGCAGAGCCCACAGGTTTTCTTACAGTTTGTTCTTGTGTACCAATTTGTGCGGCAATAATTTCTCCACGTAGCACAACGATAGTCTTTATCCCTACACACTGCCGTGGTTCCACCTGCCAAGGGATAATATCAATAAGACAATTGTAAGAATTTGCAGCGATATGCTTTTTTAGTGAATATCCTGTATTTAACAGATCTCGTACTCCGTGTAACTGTGGCGAAAATGTAGGATCTCTTCCAACCGCTTGGCCGTGGAAGGTCTGGGTACGAGACTAGTAATTAACTTCCGTTCGCCTCTAAAAGAAAAAAATGCGTAAAAAGTACCACTGAAGGAATATCTTTACCTAAGCCTACTTATAAGGACTTATCATTTTTAACAACACCGATCTTTTCTTACAAAAACGTACCAAAAAGTGTTTTTTCACGGGTGAACCGAAGATTACCGAGGAGAGCAAGTGTTGGTGTAAAATTATCTTAGAAAAATAAATCCAATCATCATTCTCTGCTGATCCTCTTGTGAGTTCGTCAGTTAGGTCCAAGCTAGTCTCCAATCCCAAACATCAACCTCAATCAGCGACACATTTCCACAAATAAGGAAAATCGTTCATCATTTTCTGATACTTACAAACTCCACAACTTCTTTTGCAATAACGATTCATGTAGCGTGGATTTCGTCTACATTCCCCTCTTCGCGCCCAGTAATAACAATTTTGGGTGCTATCGAAGCATGCTGTTGGAAAATTAACACAGCCACAGTTTAAGATAATACAAATGATTGTCTACTTTTCTTGCTGTTGACCATAAAACTGTCCACAATTTCCATAAAACCTATGTAACTGCCAACTCTCTCTGAGTTGTTACCCCCGACCTACTTCCAATCAGGAAACTAAGTAAAATCGAAGCTCCGCGGCCCTTTCATTTAAAACATTTTCATTTCTTCTCACAAAAAATTTTGTCTTATAATGCAGCGACGGCTTAGTGCGAGAAGAGATTGCACTGTCCTTTCGCATTCAAGATTAATGCCTTGCAGAAAATTCGCTTAGTTTAAACCAATATGCCTTCAGTGAAAAGTTTTGAAATTACTGTATTTGATACGGGATGCAGGGAGCTTCAAACAAAACTTTTACACGTCCAGGGTTGTTGAGGCTACAAGCAGAATGATTGAGACGTTCCAAATGACTATCAAAAAAGTTAATTAACTCTCCGACTCCCTAGATCCCAGTGGTAATTATTCTTACTGTTTTCCAAACAATTTCTATGATGTTTGTTCAGAGGATTTGTTATTGGATCAACTTGATAAACATAATTGATATTTTTCTTTATTCTCATCACTAATCTGCTCGATATTGTATTGATATTTTAGGAAGAATTCTGTCTTGGTCACTCACGGGATTTTAAGGGTTAAGACAAAAACTTTAACAAAATTTACCACTTTGTCTGCGTTTTCGTTTCTTCGCGTTACAACCATACATCCAATCCGTCTGTTCAGCATCCAGTGGACTCAGGTTTTGGTAAGGTTGCTTGCCGTTTAATGGTTTAAGGGCTTGTAACGTTGGCTGACCGTTTTTGGAGAAAGCATTAAATGGATAGTGCATGATAGACCCGTAGTCGTAAGGTAAACCAAGAGAATCTATTTTGTCCCTGCCATACTTAGCAAAAGCACTTTCTACACCTTGACCAGGAGAAAACATGTTTTAATTAGCTTTATTATTTTGAGTAATAATGAAATAATAAATTTCTCCCGTGTCTGAACACGCGAAGTGAGCATACCCACCAAATCTTTACACGTGAATACGATTATAGTCGTCAAGGCAACTGTAGCACACGTGCAGGCTTTCATTATTAGTGTCAGACCCCCGGCAAACCTCTCCCACTAATAATGAGCCCCCCTTCGTGGAATATGGCAACCGGGTTTATCATAAGGCAGTTTAACTTTCCGTGCAGGCCATTTTTTCTTCGCAAATATTACTAGGGTAGAAATCAACCTCTTCTACTATAAAGAGTAGCCGTTTTTTTGTTTTGTTTTGTTTTAGATAACTTTCTTTCTCTCTTGACAAGTTTAAGGAGCATCTCCACAAGCTGAATTTAAGTTCAGGTAACCTCTACATCCGGTGCTCTTGAAACGTGTTTTCAAATTGCCTTTGATTCAAACATCTCATCAATATTCAGTCATATTAGGAACAAGAGCGTACATAGCCACGTGTGGAGACGAATTTATCTCCTCTTGTTGATAACGTCTCTCACTCATGTGCTTCAGTCACTCGAGACTGTAGTGATAAAAACACTCAACGATAGATTTGTATCCACACGCGGCCATAACATATCTTTTAAATCTAATGTATTGTTGGTTAATATTACACTCCTTTAAAGAGAAGTAGAGACATTCAGCAAGTAGGCAGAGGGACGGACGGACAGACGGACAGACGGACAGACGAATAGACAGACAGACTGACTGATAGACGAACAGACGAACAAGCAGACACAGACACAGACACAGACACACAGTGAGTGAAATGGTTCTTCTTATAACATCGCTACCTTCATATAACAATAATGAAGTACCTACACTTACCTGGCAGTATATTCTGTTTCAGTACCCGGACGTAACTATCTCTGTCCGGACGACTTTGCTCGTGCCAAAAACCAACCGCGTGACCGATCTCATGTACCATCACGTGCTTGTATTCACAACCAAATCCAACTGATAGATACGTCTTTCCACCAATGCGTCCGACATTACACCAGCACCTGAAGGAATCAATTTTTACTTTTAGAGCTCTTTTCAATTAAGCGTCGTCGAACCAAACAAAGTCAGCACAAAAGCCAATCAAAAAAAAAGGAAAGTATTTCAAGGGGCCGATGAGAACCACCAAACCACACTTCCTCCCTCAACATGTTTTGTTCAGGATGTTGTCTTGTACCCAGACCTTTCACGGCCAGACGGTTGTAATTTCAGTTACAGTTACACAGTAGGATCTGGGTACGAGATTAATCAGGACGTTTACCGTACTTTCATCTCTTACCCTCTTTGACGGAAGAACCAAAGGTAATCTTTTTGAGTTGTTCTCTTCACAAACTTGATACAAGTCTTGCTTTGCCATTCCTTTATAGCCGCATCTATGGCACTCATTGCATCGGGCATGTTTTCTGTAAAAGGCAAGAAGACAAAGGTATTGTTTTTGTAATAAAGCCCCGATAAACTTGCAATGAAACGGTTTTTTCAAAACAGCTAACATTACAAGGAAGTGGAAGAGCACTGAAAAAAGAAAAAAAGTGCGGTGAAAGAGCACAACAAAAGCGATTTCCTACTTCTATGGACGCTATTTTTTGCTATCGAGGTATGACCATGGATGTAAACGTTTTCCTAGTAAGTCATAAAACCTATGTAACTGCCAATCAGACAGTTTGAAAGTCGATTTCCCGCCAAGACGCTACGTGCGTCACACTCAAAAGATGTTTCGGCCTAATGCACAACATCCGTTAAGACAACAACTGACTTCTGAACTTAAATGTTGCTTCCATTTGTGCAAAGTATTTCTTCCATGTTTTTCACTTGGTGGGCTCTATTGGACTGCAAATCGCGGCAACTAAGAAATGTTTTTCGCTTGGTGAGCTCAATTGGACAGCAAGCCATGATCACCGTCGCGCCCTAATTAATATTGGTAATAGGGGGGCGAGGCGGGAGTCCGATCATGATTACAGACAGAATTTGAACGACATGAAGTCTTGTTGCCAATTAATCAAAATTATGACAAAATTTGAGAAAGAAACTAGACAACGTTTATACGTTCTCATAAAAAAAAACAGTTAAGTCGGCGAAATGCGAGACAACAGCACGCGCACATGACGCGTTCTGTCCACTTCCACAGGCATGACGTATTAACTGTCGCATGACGCGAGCACTGTCCTATTTCTGCTCAAATCGGGCTGGTGATGTCCAATCACGTTCGAGAATTTTTCTATAGTTTTGATTATACAAAGAATAACAACATCACTTACGTAAGCTGCAGTCAATTTCATAGGGTATGATACCGTTCGGCCATCTAAGACGTCCGTTGCCGTCGGCCGCTCTGCTAACATTGCCTCTGATATCGCCATGAATATCAATATTAATCAGCTGCTGTTTAGTTAAAACGATATCCCCTTCAAACACGCTATCTGGGAGCGGTGGACTGGAAAAGGCTGAAAATGACAAAGTGAATGTTACAGTAGAACGATCCTCATCAAATCTGATTTTATCTTGTGCAATAGTTGTTTGTATGGCCCGAGTTTAGAAAGCCGGTGATATAAGCGCGCGCGCGCGTTATGGTTTGTATTTTCACTTTGTTTTATCATCGCTTACAACAGAGGTGCACAATTATGATGTCATTCTGTGTGCACGCTGTTGGAAAGTTGAGGAAAACCGGTGATTTGCGGTGAGTAAGAAGACAATACCGAGGTTTTATTTGAAAGAGGCACTGACGATTATTGAAATCCAGGAAAAGATGGCAGAACAAGACGCACAAGAAATTAAAGGAGTATTAAAGCGACTGAAGGAAAACATTGCAAAACTTCAACCTTCATTTGAAGAAGTTGTTGCCGAGCAGGCTGAAATGTTGATTGGTGATGAAAGGAAAAAACTCCGAAAGGCATATAAAGCCGAGTGTAAAGATTTGCTACGCGAACTAAAAGAAGTGAAGAGTGAAATGGAAGAGTGTATCACTGACATCGACCGAAACACCAGGAAGTGTATCCATGAGGTCAATCGGGACATGGACGAAAAATTCAGAGCTGTTATTCGTCAAGAAAGGCTTAAAAGGAGTAAAGAACTTGACGAAATTAGAGTAGAAACAAAGAATAATACAATTGTTGAACTTCTCAGCCCTTGCAATAAATATCAGGTCATGAAAATTTCTGTAAATTCGAATTTTGTTTCCAAGAGCACGCCGAGATGCGCAAGTTGTGGCAAAGAGAGCGTATGGTTGTATTTCTGCGGAGGTTGCAAAATTTCCAGATATTGCGACGAAAAATGCCAAGAAGCTGATTGGGAGAGCCACAAGAACACCTGCATAGGATTGAATAATAACTAAGAGTAACGGAAAGCTATACCACTGTAAAGTGAGCAATCTTTGCGAAAATTAAACTGCTTAAACTTGTTTTGCTACTGTTAACTTTGTGTACTTGCCCCTATCAGTATCTGTTTTAAAAGAGTGTCACTTGGTAGAGATTTGCTTAAAAATAGGAAAGCGTTCTTCTAAGTTTGGTTGTGTGTATGTGTTTTTTTGTATGTTAGTTCCGCAAAATATTGTTAACAACGGAGACAACGCGCGAGTGATTACGGGAAATAATCTCGCCCCGTATTCTTTAATCGCAATCGTCCACTTCCCCTCCCTAACCCCCGTGTATCAAGAGAATATGTGCTGTAGTTTAAGCTCTCTTCTTGTATGCAAAACTGAAACCTTCAGTGCAATGACAGTGGCATGTCCTTGAGAATCAGTAAAATAGATTTCGCGGGATCATGCACGTTTCCTCCAAATAATAAAGCAATGAACATTTTTCTAGGCCGGCGTAAGCTTGAGCTATGAATTTCTGCTCATCTCAATGACCTATTAAAACAGACAAAAGAGCTCGTAAAATAATTTTGTAATTCAGACTAGTGATTAAGCTTTCACTCATCTATCATTTCGTCAGTCCTATTTCGTTAATCATCAGTGCGCGCACGCATTCATAGTATGCGTCACAAAACGCGTCATAAAGGTCATTTAAAAGTTACATGCACGTGGTTAGAATTAGAAGAATTCGACGCTTTGCGACGTCATAAAGCTATTTTGAACTCCAGGATCCAGTTGTATCTATGGCAGATAATGCTATCCAACGGATAAATCGCTATCCAGCGGATAAGTGATGGCAAAACGTATAGTTATCCACCGGATAGAGATTTATCCTGTGGATAGCGTTATCCGACCTTTGAACAACCACGGCCAGTGGTCTATAGCGACAGCAAAAAAGACTCGCAACAATTCTGTCAGCCTCTGTTTGACTCGTCAACTGTCATAAGCGGCTGATTTAATACTATTTTCAAAACCCGTGAAATTTTTTGGTCTTCGGTTGACAACACGCGCGAACGAGGCAAAAACGAAATACACTGTAGGTGCACGCGGACGGTTATTGCAACAAGGGTCCCCCTCTCATTAGGCACTGCATCAGCGAATGGAACGAAACGTGAAGCCAGGCACTGTTTTGAGTTTTGTTTAAAAATTTCAATTTAACGACAATTATTCCCTTCCCTTTCTCCGATCGGTAGTCTTTTGTTCACGGCTCAGGGGCAACGCAGGTGATTCTGAGGATTTAGTTGTCAGGATTGGGGACCGAACTTTGATTTGAACTTAAACGTAAAAAATGAGGTGGAAAATTTCGTCTTGTCTCTTCTTTCCAGCTGTTTTTGCGCTTTCTTCTTTCCTCGCTTCATTTTTTAACGGCTAACATGTCATATATGGCTTCATTTATTACAGAATGGTCATTCCTGCTACGGGTACACAAACATGTACTTACAGTCACGCTCTGTGCCCAAGTTGGCTTGTAGAATCTGATCAAAAGCTCCCTTCTTCTGCGGATTGGGAATGCTGGGTAACGCGGAGGTGATCCCAAATGGACTGGGAACCAGACCCAGAAGTAGGGCGATCCACAACTGGAATAACATACCTAGAGAAAATTTTTCCAAGTACAGCAAGTGTGAACATAACTTTTAGTTCGGGTCTCTTTTGGCATAAAGGCGAAAGTGCAGTATGTAAGTAAACTATGAACTAGGTCAATTTCCCCAAGTCCGCCGGAAAAGTCAACTTGTTTTTCATGATTTCAACAATAGTTAACATTACCAAGGGAATTTAAACTGCTGACGATTTCCTTCTGACACTACATATACGTTTAATCCCTCTTTAGGCCCCCTAAATTTATATGAGTCTAGGGTATTAGAAAATTTTTCATCTGACTTAATTTTGAATACACTGTACAGAGCACATGTCTTACACTTCTAAAATCGAGTGTTTTCTCATCATTTACCCGTTTAAAGTATTTAAATCGTTGGTTTATGAATTGCTTGAGATTTCTGAATATACAATTCTCAAACTGAGGTTTCCACAGAAGAACTTTAGGGAGTCTTAGGAACAAGCGTCATTTTTTGCCCTTTTTCAGGCAAGCGAAGGCAAGCGTGAGGCGAGCGCGAAGAGCGCAACTTGTAAATAGTTTATCAATGGTTGATGATATTTAATCATATCATCAGATTTAAGAAAACTTTGGTATCAAAAGCATATACATACCACTCCTCTCTGATACGGATACCACTTGTTTTGTGCTGTAAGTTGCTACAAAAAATGATAAATGCCAAACAGTACGTTTAAACTCTCATCAGCGACTTTAAAAACACCAGCTGCAGCTTTAAGTATATCGAGATTGACGACGCGTTTGAATTCCCAAAATTGGTATAAAGGGAAAAATGAATCAAAATGCGTCATAATGACCTTATATGACAGTGAGAAATAATTTCCGTCAGAAAATTCACCAGGCCCTTTCAAGTGTTCGTTCCCTTTTTCCTTTTTTTTTGCCCGAACGACCGACCCACCCTCACGAGAGGGAGGGCGATGGGAAACGAAACATTAAATTGGGATGGCCTTATGACAATTATGTGTAGGTTAGCGCAAAGGCGAGTACGTTCTTTCCGGAAAAAAAATCGCGCCTTCAACATTCTTAGATTTAACGATGCACTTCATATCGTGTTAAATGAAAAATATTCTTTGTAACAACAGGGGAATATCTTTCTAGAAACTAATGGGTCACTAATAGATATCACTGTTTTTTTCCCTTCTCAATGTCTTAATATTGTCAAGGGGACGTGGGAGGATTGCGCGACGTCGCGCACTTCCAGGTGTCAAATCCGTTGCCAGTAATCGGATCCTCGTGTTACGCGCGAAGGATTGTGGGATCACTAAGGGGCAAACATTGCAAGTTGCTAGATGGAAATATATGGCGCCGGCTGTTTCACCCCATTCGACGTCCCAAATAAAATTATTTTGGAGAGAATTCAGAGCTTTTTCGCAATTGTTTTATCAGAAGAGGATTAAGCACAGCTGTTTGTAGTATGGATTTTTTTATAGGACCAATCAAGAAAGTCGATTTCTGCTTGGTTCCGTGGTGGAATGTTATCGATTTCTGCTTGGTTCCATGGCGGAATGTCAGTGTAAAGGGAACGCTGGGGAAAAGCCTCAACAAACTAAAAGACGTGGTGAATGCAGCTAATTTTTTCGGTGTTTTGAGCAACTTACGTCTGGTAGATGTTTTAAAAATTATCATTTTCATTGCTGATGGTTCGCTAAGGTACATATCTCATTTAGCGCGTCAAAGAGCACGTTGTCATTTTTTAAACTTATTAGTAGATCATTATTACATGAGATGGTCCTTAATATCTGTAATTCTCTACTTCCCAGGAAATATCACACGTAATGTGAAATACATACAGTGCAGCTGCTGTGGTTGTTTTCTCTGCTCCTCTCACAGCATGATACTGCGTTTGGCACTCTGTGACAGATCTTATCAATGCACGTATCCAGTAGTGTAAAACCCAGACGTATTAAACATTCCCATCTAGTCTTTAGGTAGTGTGTTTAATGCGCTAAATTAAGAATCGTTTCCCATCAGCATTAACACTGCGATATGAACTTCACACTCTTCAATTCGCAGTTTTAAGCAGACACATTTTAACTCTAAGCAGCTGGTGTTTTTGTTTCTGCTTTCGCAGATCAACGAGTGCTTAGTAAACTGTCAGCTACGAGACTTTTAAATGTTCAAGTTAAAGAGGACTCAAGTCACTCTGTTAAGAAAACACGTGGGCGACTTTACATTAGGAAAAGCGAGTGTGAGCTGAGACGGGGAAAACTATTTGATCTTTCTAGCTGGCGAAATGTCCAACTACGTTGTATAGACAACCCCTCAAATCACCTTACCTTGTAATCCGTAATTCCTGGCAAATATGAAAATCAGGGTAGGTTGTTGACTAAAATAAGATTTGTTTGTATCCGATGGGTAGTTCTTGGCTGGCTGTCTTGTGAAAAAATTCCTTGCACACAGTGACTTCGGTCGTATTGAAGGCTGATTTGCGCAACTGATTCAGGACCGTGGAGATCGTCGACTTTATGTATCACGTAACGCCGAATCGTGACGAACTGTATGGGGCAGTCGACAATGTACGTCATAGTATCAGATAACACTTATCAACTGATACTTTATATGACATCAAATTTACGTAACTCTGCTCTGCACTGACAGGTAACTGCGAACGTCGAGTTAACGATGTGCCATAGGACTAAAGAAATTGGTCCTTTATATCGAGAGTTCATTATATCGAAAACCTCGATTTAACGAATTTGCGGAAAAACAACCAAAACGTTCGTTTTATCGAGGTATAGTTAATAATTGCTTGTTTTTTCTTTTTCCTTTTTGTGGTGTGACGTTGCGCTACTTAACCTTTTGGGGCCGGATCGATTACTGTAAATGACATTTGTGCTTTAATATCTATAGCTATATGAAGACTTATTTGTGAAAAAAATTAAATTAAACGCCTATATTTATAAGCCAAAGTAAGGGGGCTATAAGAGCGAATAACCATATAGACTCGGCTGGACGTACGATCGAACAGGAACAGGCGAAGTTATGAAAATTTTGTCAATTTTTTAAAGCAAGGTAAGAAAAAATAATAAGGGGCCTCGGTTTAGTTTAGCGTTCACTTGTAAAACTCCCGAAAACTATCGCCGCAGAGTGCCGCTCATTACTTTAGTCTTTTAAGACATTTTTTACAAAAAGTTGTCACGTGTTGACATTTGTTCGTTACATCGGGGTATATTTAACGTTTGGGCTTCTAGATTGTATTCGATATAACAAGGATTTCATTATATCGAGGTTCTTTCCCGTATATTTTACTGTAACTTTGGCCGGGCTGAAGAGTATCGGTCGTCATACCGGCCGAGGACTTCATTATATAGAGGTTCCTCAAATCGAGGTTCTACTGTATTTCAAAATCTAAACTCCTGCTTGACTTTCTACTGAAATTCTATTGAAACATACAATAAACGAAGGAAAAAGGTTCAATTCCCTTAGAGAAATTAAAAGCTCTCCTTGGTCTGAATGAAGGGTCCCCGGATTTTCATCAAGGTTCAGAGGGACTCGCTCGTTTTGAGCTTTGCGGTTACGAGGTATTAGCCAAGAACCACAGAGCCATTTCACTATCGATACAACTTGTGACGTCACTGGTACGTTTTACATCGCACATAAGCCCTTTAAGAGCGGTCAAGTTAATTTTCAAGGGCGTGTCTTTGAGCGTTTCACCTCTCTTGTATGAGATTATGCCGAAGGGATTACATTTACTTTCCTCGGCAGTGGCTAATTTAAGAAATGTCTTCTTTTCTTTAGGTGAGGGGAATTCAACGAAATGGAACTGGGAAGAGAAAACGGAACCTATTATTTTTTCTTCCTGAAAAAACTTCGGGATTTCGCAAATGGGAGAAAAATATGCTAAGGAACATTATTACTATTATACTAATAATTATTTTTATTACTGTTATTAGTTTTTTTATCAGTTATTATAAGTGTATTAAATACAGGTGCATCGGAGAAACCAAACGCATGCAGGTTAAATACCAGAGGCAGCTAACCAATTTCTGAAAAATTTGAAATTATGACATTTACATACAGTAATATTTGCTTCCAGTTCCACCGTCAATTCCTTTCACATTGAAACTGTTAGAGTACTTTTGAGACTCTAGAATGCGACCTTTTGTTGAAAAATCTTGTCACTCCTTTACCCTCCCAAATGAGCTTACTACTTGAAGAAAACTGGACCAGGCATTGAGGCATTGAATATACAATTGCAACTACGTTTGCTTAGACGATTGGTGGGAAGGATTTTCACACTTGACACCGAAAAAAGAAAGGAGGCCAAGGTCAGGAAAATTGACGCTAACCCTCGGATGCAATTAGTAAAAGAGATTATCAAAATCTTGATCCTGATCTTGATTAAGATGTTGAGTTAGAAATCATCACAAAACGTCGCCGTTTGCATGGAAATCGCACGCGTCGGTTGACTCGATCTTAGAGAACTTCAAAGTAGTGCAGAGCTGAGCCCATCTGCGCCTCCTGTCTGTGATTTAGAGGTAAGACAGTTCTGAGTCTTAAGGTAAACTGTTTTCGAACTGCAGTTCTGTTAACTTGAATTTTGCATTAATAGCTTGCACGTATCGTTTTTCGCGATATATCAATTCGTACAGTTAAGACGTCGCAAAGTTTTCATGAAATTAAAGATTAAACCCTTACTAAAATGAAAAATGAGCCGGATGAGGGGAAGTATAGGAAATCTGTGTCTTTTGTGAGCTTGTTTACTCAACTTGAATGCCGAAATGAACGCCAAAATTGATTGCGAATATTTTAGCTTGTGCTTATGCCTTTACCCTTCTTGTTGCGAGCAAAACCTGGCTGGTCTCTTCTTCAAGGCAAAGCAAGTAAATTTGAATAAAGTTTGATCGAGGTAAAACCCAGACGAATAAGGCACGACCCGAAAAATTGATTGAGTAATAAAAAAAATGCAAAAACCATACAACAGAGAAAAAAATCATGGGCGGAAGAAATGGACCGAATAAATAAGTCATGATTATCTAGGGTCATTTGTCAGTTTGGCAGTTATCTTTAACAGGCGATCTCGTCTTGCACGATATATTTCTTTTTAAGAGTTTCATGAAAAAATTTGCCTTGCGGCTTTTAAAACATGCCTGATAAGATAAAGTTTCAGACGTGACTGACCCAGGATTCGGAAGGACGAACTAAAAAAAATTTGACCTGATACTTTGAGTAAGGTTTAACGAACAATTCTTTTCAAATTCCAAATAATGAATGCCTAATCTTAATCCATAATAATGTTTCCTGTTTATGTAAGATGACATCTTTCATTCTGACAATGGCAACTCGGGTATTCAAAACAGTGCGAACTTTCCGTTGGTTTTCAAAGCTCCCCAAAATGTGCTTACTTAGCATCCGGTTTGATGTTCAATCAATCGAAACAGCTTTGGTTGCAAATTGCTAATAAAAGGTATCGAACCCCGCCTCAACGGGTACACAACATCCCAATTTTTATTATTATTATTATTATTATTATTATTATTATTATTATTATTATTATTATTACTTTGTTGATACGTTTCTTTAGAGGCGTTCCCACGTATATGACTTTGTTAGTGTTCATATGATTTCTAAGTAAAATTTACACTACCCTTAACTGCATGGAAACACTCGTGAGCTTTGGGAAGAAGCAATTCGCGGAGAAGAATTAATCTCTCATACCGAGGAGGAGGATTGCGTTGTAGGTTATCCCCCACCTGCGTGACAAAATCTAATGACGCCATAACTTGCCATGATTTACATAAATTACGAATGTTGCAACTTTTTGAATGTGACACTTTTCCTCTACAACCGCTCATAGCTGAATTCTGGTCGTTCCGTGCCATCTACAAAGCGTTTTGATCGTTAAGTTTCCGCTTGTTTGGTGAGAATTAGTGTAACTTATCTTAAATATTGTCATGTTTAGGTGAATAATTGAAAGTAAGTTGTTGGTCGAATCAGTTCTCCGAGCACCCCGGAGCGTGCAACATTTACCTTCGCGTAACCATTTCCTTTTCAGAAAGTACTGTTATTTCGTTTTTACTCAACCCGCCTATAAACAAAAATCGATCATTTCTTTATGACAAGTGTCATTTCAAATTACTAAAAAAAAGTTTTTGTTTTGATTTCTCATCGTAGAGACAAATTCAGCTGGGAGCACTGCTGGACTCCTCAGAGAGGCCATGTTGCTTGTTTTCGTTCTTTGCAGTGTTCTGATCACAGCATCAGTAGAGGCGAGCAAGTAAGAGTGCATTTTAAAAAGAGAACGTAACGTCTAGAGAAATATTGGCTTATTCAATTCCGATCACAACTTGAATAAATGCATAAGTTTACTTTGTGAGTTGACTCTATACTTGTACGTAAATCAAGCTATAATCTAACGAGGAAAAAATTTGCTTATTTAGCGCTATGTTCTGTAGGCTTAAGAATATTGATCCTGAAACAGAAGCCTTGAACGAACAATTCATTTGTGTAGAGCAACTTGCACTTTTTTCACAATGTGTAACAATCAAGTCAAGTTTAAGAATGTTTCATGAAGGTCGTTTGTCGAAACAGCTCTAATGCTGACATTTAACTGGCAGCAGCTATTAGAATATATTTAGCGCGTATGCGATATGATTTCCTGTAGAATGTTCTTAATTAGAACTTCTGGTTTAATTTATATTGTACTTATTGTATTTATATTGAGACTTGTCGTGCGAATGTCACTTTCATGCCAAATACATTTAAAGGTTGAGGTTTGCCAATATTAAAGTAGTTTAGGACTCTGTTCCTGTTTATAAATAGCCTCATCACAAGGGGTGTTTAGAGAATTCGAGAAGGTAGTGCAAACCCGAGAAACAGTAGAAGCGTTTGCATAACTTTCGACAAAAGTCCACTTTACAGTTGCGTGCTTAGTTGCCAACCTTTAAACAGGAGTGAGGCTAAGGATGAGCTTGTTATGCTACAAACCGTGCTGCTTCTCAAATTTTAATTACTTTGTTATCACGCTAACTAAATACCGCTCTCTATCACAACAAGGTCACCTTTAGCCTCATTTCAAATCAAAGGCTAGGCAACTGAGTACACAACTGTAAAATTGTCTATTGTGAGTGTTAAAGATGAGGGTATAAAAACAGCATAAGGTAATCCTCTCTTTGTTTAAATTATTTTTCAAAAATAACTCAAAACAAAGAAAGCATGACATCACAACTGTGAATACAGACATACTCTCTTATAAACACACCTATTGACCAATTGGAGCACTTGCACCATCTTCTGTATTTTATAACATTAATTAATCTAAGCCCCTTGTGTATCTGTAATGAAAACTTGGGAAACTCTTAAACCAAGCATTCTGTTTTTGGAACTTAAAACTGCTCCTGGTCAGGTTTTTTTTTCCAAACTTCCATCTTGTTTAACTGAGTGTGCTGGTACATCTGAATCTATACCCTTAGGGTGATCAGTGAAAGGAACTTCAAGATTTAAGTGTCTTGTCCAATGCAAATAGCACAACAGTG